TATTAAATTAATATTATATAATATTTAATAAAATTTAAAGTATATTTTACATTTAATTTTCTGAATTTTATATTTCAATGATTTTATTTTAAATTAAATAAATGAGATTATGATTAATAATTTGGTTTATAGAGGTCTAGATAAAAATAGATTAATATTTTATAAGATTTGGTTATTATAATAAGGATGTCATATATAGCATAATATAAACTATTTTAAAGAATAGTTTTGGTATGAAATTGTTAAATTTGTAAAAATTAATATCAAATCAAAACAAATTTTTAAGCATTTATTTATCATAAAATTTTAGTTTACTAATGTTTGCTATTTTCTCAAAAGTAGCATCTTAAGTTAACAAATTTTAAGGAGTAACTTGTTATTAAGTGAAACTAATAGCATGATTTCTGTCTTAGGCATATTATTATATACTATATTTCCTATCATGAGACAATCTTTTATATTCTATAGAGGATCTTCCATTAATGGATGTAATTCTCCTTCTATTTTTGTTAGACAATAAATCTTAGTGTTATGGCAGCGATTATTATTGTTATTACATTTATTGTTTTGAATATGGATTTTTGAGCACGATAACAACCGGTTTGCTTGATTAAGTGGCAAATTAATTTTAAAACATAGAATTTCTAAATAGATCAAATATGATACTTGTTAGAAACTCTAACATGATACACTTGCATTTTGCCTAAGATTTGTTATAGAGAAATATCAGTTTATTAAAATGAATTTTTAAAGCCTTCTTACAATGGAACATCATGAGTATTAATTACAAGATCTTAAATGCTTTAAAATCCTAGAGTTTCAGCATTAGGTTTTCTTATTTGTCTAACTTATTCTTCAATTTTTTGCAAAACTTTTTCATCTAACATAAGATTTTAATAATGCTAAATATCAGTTTAGGATGCCTTTTCAATTTTATTAAGTTTTTTTTTAGCTGCAATTATAATTTTGTTTTGTTTTTTTAAATCAAAAAATGACTGAAGTTCTTATTCTTAAAGAGCATCGTCTTCTGGATTTGAATCACTTCCTGAATCATCTTCACCTATTTAAAGTTAGCTTAAATCACAATCTTTGATCAATTTATCAAGTTCATCATTTTATTATATTGTTAAGGCTCTTGGCAATTTACTGCATTTTATCATTTATATTTCAAATAATTTAAATATTGCTAATAATATATCTTCACCTAATTATTTATAAGAGCTTTCTGTAAAATCTTATAATGCTTATTTTCGAAAAGCATGAAAAGATATTTCTAAAGTATAAGTAAATCCATTTTTCACTTCTTATTGTAAAGCTACTCTTGCAGTTTTCTTTTTACTTTCATGAATGCTAAAAGAGCAATCTCTTAAATTCATCATTTTAGATAGATTGCAACTTATTAATGGTAATAATTTTTATTCATCACATAAACTATTTGCATAGAAGAAACTATTGAATCTAAAATTATTAAGTGATTTTTACTTCTTTGAATGTCCATGAAAATCAACAATTAAACTTAATTCTGATATTTGATTTATTTATCTAATTAATTCTCTTACATACCAAACAGAATCATGTAATTCTTTATGTGGACATATCCAGATTCTATTAAGATCAGTTCCGTAAAGATTGCATCTATAATTTCCAAAAACAACTCCATCTGGATTTATCATAGGAATTATATAAAAAGTAAAATTATTTCTTAAAACTTCTGCTTCCATACAATTGCTTATTAAAAATTCCATTGCACCTTCTATAGTAAAAGACCCAGGAGTTTCTCCTGGATGTTATCTAGCCATTAATAGTATAGCTTTTTTGCCATTTCCTATGGTAATCAAAGGACATGACAATTTAGATATCGTCTTGCATAATTCTTTTACTACGGCATACTAAATTAATCATTCATATACTTTATTTGGCTTAATAGATCTTTCTATATAATTATATAATTAGGAATGAGTATATGGATAACATTAAGCAAAATAAACTTTATCATTAGAATGTTCAAATTTATAACTAAATGAGAGTGTATAATATGTTTTAAGCGAACTATTTTCTCTCTTAAATTTATTTCTAAAATAAATTATATTATGTCCTGCTTTAATCCATCCTGTTCCTTTCAATCGATTACTTTTTATAGAATAGACAACTGGTCTTTATCCCATATTAAATAATGAATCACATTTTATCTACAAGGCTTGATAAAAATATTAAAGTTACAAAGTTAATGATATTAAAAGTAACAATACAGTTCTTAATTGTATTTTCAACCGAGAAATAAAACCATTATGTATTTCCTTTAGTATTTGTGTCATTTTACATCATTAAATCATATTCATTTTGCCCAACTTTATATGATGTAAACAAGTTTCCACTTTCAAAATTCGAATCAAATTTAAGTCCATTGTATTTCTTGCTGTCTTACTCGAGATAAAGTTATTTTAATTCCTTTTATTTCATTGTAGTTGGATATAAATTTTTGTTTAAAATTGATGTAAATTCTGTTAATCTTATTTCTTTATTTAAAGCCATTAGTTTTTTGCAATCAAAGAAACACGAAGCAGCGAATCGATGATTATTTAGTGGAATCATTGACCATGGATAATTATCAAAACGCTAATAAATAAGATTAACTTTATTATCACTAAAGTAATCCCACATGTTAAATGCTGAATCTTTTTCATCGTAAGCATCTCTCTTCTTTATCTAACCACTTATTCATTTAGATTTATACATCTTTTATTTAATTTCAGGATCAGCAGCCTATACTAATGGATTTGGAGCAGGAAGTAAACCATAATATTACATTAAAATATATATATATAATAATAGCATTTATAAAATTATATTTCCTTAATAAAGCATCATTCAATAATAAATTACGTAAAAAATGATTCTTTCTTTTTCTAAGATATAAAATATATAATAATTGAAAAGCTGATTTTAAATTAAATTGTATTAAATCTACTAAAAATTTCAATTTACTGTTCTAGATTATCACTTTTTAACTAAAACAATCTTCTCTATTTGAAAAATATAAGTAAATTTTATAAAAATAAAATAGTGTTTTTGCCTTATAAATTTAATATTTACTTGATTGGCTTTTACTCTAAATTTATGAGATCTTCATGAATCTTCTTTTAAATAATAATTATGATCTTCTAATAATAAGATTATATCTATGGTTGATTTAATATTATTTTAAACAATAAAATATTAAATGATATAGATAAATTAGTATATTCAATAATTTTTACTTTAAGCCTATTCTCTCTTAACACAACCTAAAGCTACAAGAACTTTATGCATAAATGATTCATTATTAATTGATTATTAAGTTTATGATCTAATTTATTTTCTTTGGTTATCAGAGTTTCTACTGATTCTTTAAAAATTCATTTCAATAGATGTGTCATTTTAAGTTTCATGAGTTGTTATGTTATTTCTGATTATTGAAGATTGTGATGATGCAGTTGATTTATTGATATATTATGCTTAAGAATGGATTGAATATGCATTATGAGTTTTAGTTCGTCCATGTTTATTTGAATTTGTATTATTCTATTGATTTAATTTAAACCATTTGTGATTTAAAATTAATGAAAGACTAAGTCTATCTTATTAATTATAAGTAATCAAACTCATTATTAATTCCTTTACTTCTTTAGTCAATGATCCATCTATTTTATAATGAACTTTAACAATATTCTAACACTTCTCAATATCATTCTTACCATCAAAAGGAGCTTATCCATGTAATAGTTCATATAATAATACACCTAAACACCATATATCAAGAGTGTAATCATGAGGTTTATCTTCAATCATTTCTGGAGCCATATAATCAATAGTTCCACAAAAAGTATTTCTTTTAACAGACCCTAGGTTTTCAGCAGACCAACCAAAATCACAAATCTTTACATTATCTTGTATATCTAACAAAATATTTTCAGGCTTAAAAATTATGATTAAATAATATACTTTTAAATCTCTATGTATTATATCTTATTAATGTAAATATTGGATTCCTAAACAAGTTTACTTAAAAAATTTCATAGCCTCATTCTCTGTAAGTTTTCCTCTCCTTCTCAAATATTAAAATAATGAACCATGTTCTGCATATTCTAATATCAAATAAACACGATCTTTATCTTCAAAATAATGATAAAGTTATGTAATATTTGGATGATATAGTTTACGTTGGATTCTTATCTCTCTTTTTAAGTTTTCAATAGAGCAATACTCAAAGATATCTTTTTTGTTTATCTTATGTTTTTAGTATAATAAGTACAATCTTCATTGCATATAATTATTCATTAGTTTTATCTTTCACTAATTTAACTGCTCCAAAACTTCCTTTTCCCAATTATGGATAATCATAAATTAACTCGAATTCTTCTGACGTTCTCTTCATTTATCTTAAGGTTGAAACATTATCACTATTTGATATCTCTTGAGAATTTATCATTTTCTAAGGTATGCATTAAGATTTATGTCCAGAAGTCCTAAATTATTTATTCCTATTAGTACCAGTCTATATCTCTGCATCTCTAAGAACAATAATATGTGGTTTTGCAAAATGGACAATAAATCCTGTTTTTTGGAATGGGAACCATTTAACCTATACTTAAGTTATATTGACAATATCGCGAACTGCAAACGTTCATTTATTTTTAATATATATTATCATGTTATAATATTACTTTTTTTTGAGATAAACAATTAACTCTTTTTTTTTAAACTTATAAACAAATAATTTTTAATCAATATTAAGCCTTTCTATTAGATAGATATACTTAAATTTGATCATTTATACATTTATTAATATAAATTATTTGATTTATCAATACTTTTAAGAAATTTATAATATTTTACTCACTTCTGCCAAATCGAATGGTAAACTAATATATTAATCTATTCCATTTTTATAAAATTCAACTTTTGAATGATACTCAACTAATCCTGTAGTTCCAATAATATGACATTTTTAAGTCATTTTATCTTTAATATATTTACTTAGCCATAATCCGCCTTTCTTAGGCAAATCTACATTTATAAAATATAAAACAAAACTAGAATTTCCACATTTACAAATTGTTTTTGTTTCTATCAATTTTATAACTTCATCTGTACTAAAAGCCCTTGTTGAAATAATTTTAAATTTATCTAAAATCATTTCTAATATTTATATATTTTGAAATTCACAATCAGCAATTAAAACTCTAGAACAACATTATCCTGTTGTTGAAAATTTAATAATTTCACCTTACATTTTTACAGGGCTTGATATTGGTAACTATATTTAAGCCGGTACATCAATTCCAAAATCAAGTTATAAGTTTGAAGAAGCTGGTTATTATTTACTTTCACTAAATTATTATTGACTATTAAAAGTTTGTTCTCTATCTCTAACCTCAATATTTAATGTATTCCCATAAGCACTATTATTATTTATACTGTTATTAATATTGGCTTCTGGAAAATGGGGCAATTAATATTTTGATTAAGAAGGGGTTGCCTATTAATTTAATCTTTAGAAATTCTTAGTTTCCTCATCTTAATTAAAAATATAAGATGTTTAATCTGCTTTAAACTTTGAAAATTAAGAAAAGTAATTGCTGTGATGTTCTGAATATTTTTAACTTAATTATTTTGAAATTCTTGATTAAGAAAAATGAAGTGAATGATCCATTGATACTTTATTAGATTCTTCTCTAAATAGTGTACATGTTTTATCATTTTGTTTTAATGTATCTTGCAATACTAACATTTAACTCAATGATGTCTCTTAATAATGTGTTCCTCCTATTAATCTTATCGCTTTCATTTCATCATTATTTATATTAAATGATTGAATGATAAAAGTAATTTCCGTTCCTTATTATTCTGAAAGAGAGATATCAATTCCTCTTTTCAAAGTACCAGATAAATATTAAGCTAAAATATGACAAACATTAATTTCTGAAAAAGATGGATTAGGTTTTTTTAAATTGAATTTGATTAATCGTATTTCTTTTTCATCAATGTTAATAGGAGTATGAATAACAACCTAGTAATTTTTGGAAGCAAACATTTTCCAAGTAATAGTTATATTTTCATCTTTTGTTTGTATTATAAAATATCTAATTAATGGTAATATCAATTGCTTTAACTAAATATCTAACAATTTACAATACTCTTTCTGCATCTGATTCAATTGTTTCAATAAATTCTTAATCAAATTTAATATTGATTCCTTTAGCTTTTGCTGAATCTTGTACCATAATAGTTAAATCTTCACATATTGTACTAATTTCTATTGTAGATACTTTTAATAGCAATTTTTATTGATAATGTAAATTATAATCTCTCATATTTGCTAATTGTAAATAAACAATTACACTAGCGACTCTTATAGGGTACAAATATTTCTCCAATACTAAATCATTTACTATAGTATCTGATTCTGCTAAGATTGACATTATCATTATTGAATTTAAACTTGGTGTTATGTAAGAACTAAATTAATTAAATGCTTAACATGTAGGTTAATACATAATCTCTCTCTATTCAACTTACAAAAATGCATAGATTTTTTTCATTTTTTATACCAAAAATATTTTGATCGTTCTATCTTGCATCCATAATGCATCTACTTTATTTATAATAAAACAATTGTTTTTGTATAATTCATAATCTCCTATTAATTTAAATATTAAATCTTTTATTAGAAATCTAGATTAATTGATTGTAATTGTTCCACTACTTGAAATTAAATCCTAGAAATCTCTATTTCCCTACATTATACCAAGATTTAAAATGGCTAAAACACTTTCATTTTCAATTGTATTACTAAATGAATTTTTAGATATATCAGCAACATTAAAAGTTTGAATTACTACATTTTCTTATTCATCTAAAACTATAAATTATTATCCTTTTATCCACGCACTATAAATATTTTAATATAAATTATTACTATTCTTCAAAAATTATTGTATCCATAGATTTTGATAACTCTTTTAAAGTTGAAAATCCTCCATACACAATACTTTTAGAATTTGATACATTTATATCACAAGATCTAGATGGATCTAATTCTTTTTATGGAAGAGCAGATATACTAATGCCAAAATCTCTGTTTTAATTTTTTAAATTATCTGACTAGGTTTCAACAATCCTTTTAGATCTAAAAGAAAATATTATTGAAATGCAAGTAAAAGCAATTCCAATATTTTTAAAATTATCTTAAAAGTTTTAGACATAAAATACATTTCCAATCAAAAATAATTATGGCAATTTTTATAATATTTAGTTTTGTAGTTAATCTTAATAGAGTGAGTATATAAATAGAAGGTTAAGGAAAACTAATAAAATTTCAATTTAGCAAAAATAACTCATAGCTATTTGAAAAGATATACGGAGACCACCTAAAATTGTTATAATTGTTGTATTCTTTTTTTTATTTTTAATATAAAACAAAGCACTATTGACTAATAACATTGTAATTATATCAATAATTTTGAGAATCATTGACTCATTTTTATTAAATGCTAATAATTATATTTAAGTTTTGATTTACCTTAATGTTGTAAAAGGAAAATACAGATTTCATAATAAATCAATAAGATTAATGAAAATATTTCTTCTGTCATAAAAAGAGAGTTTCTAAAAAAATTTTGATTTAATTGTTATATTTATATATTTATACAAGAAGTATAAACTTTAAATAATCATATTCAGTTCACAGCAAATAAAAATTCATTCATCAATTATTTGCCTATTTTTCCAAGAAGATTTTCGAATAAGTTCATAAAATACTACTGATAGTTTTTTTTTAGCTATGATATTGAATACTGTTTTCCTGCTTAAGATATTTTAATATTAGAAAGGATGAAATTTTGAATATCAACATCTGAAAAGTCTAAATCATTAATTATTGTTCCTTCTAAATTAATACTATAACCTAATTATTTATCCTATTCTTCTGCCAATCTCACATCTTAAGCATATTATGTAATCTTTTTAATTTTTTCTTTGATTTATTTTGTCAAAGGAATCCATCTATAAGTTTAAGGACAAAGTAATTCACAGGGAGTATAATCAGCTTTATATGCCATTTTCTTACTATCCATTATATAAAATCCCATATAATAATATTTTAATTAAGGATTCAATTACTAATGTTATTTAATATAATCTATTTCTTAAAGTACGCCATAAACTCCCAAAGAATACTTTTTATATGCTGGATCATAGAAAAAGTATACTGACGAAAGTGATTATGGTAATAGGTCTACTACTCCAACTGCTATAAGTTAATTATCTAAATAATATTTCATATGCCAACAACCAAGTTCTTAACTATCCAAGGCATCTACGCATACAAAATTTAAATAGCTTTATTTACTAACTCTTTCTTTATCATGAATAGCCTTTTAATATCTTTTATAAACTTCGAAACTATCTTCTTAAAATTATGCTTTAACCCACTTTATTTCAATTTAATGATTCTTTTTTTCTTTAGCCAAGAGTTAGGTTGGTTAAAGATCAGCTTTTTACAAATAATACAAAACAGTTGACTTAAATATTTTTTGTTCTATTGTTTAAGGTGTTTTAATTAAGATTTGATTATCCCATTATGATATTTTAAATTCAAATTATAGGTTAGATAAATATTTAGAAATTAATAATTTATACTCTTTGTTTTCCTCTAAAGTTAAGAATTGAGGATACAAGGGCTTAAATTTAGTTTGTAATTTGGAGTAGAAATAAGGAATTAAATTACATCCAAATCCCCATTCATTTTCTACTTTATTTATTTAACCTCTGAAAACAGTGATTTCATATATTGAGAATTCAGTTAAACTAGAAGTGAATAGATTAAATAGAATGTTTTAATGTTCAATATTATTAATAGAGAAGACATCTGATAATTATTAAATTGTTATAGAGGATAAACAATTTATAATAATTTATTTGAATTATTTGATATGTTCTTCTTCTTTATATTAAATGCTTTTAAATGTAAAATGTTAACCAACTTTAGAGAGAATGATTAAATCTTTAGTATCAATGTCTGTTTATATTTGAGATAAGATGGCTTAAGTAAATTGATCTTGATTAATTTGTGATTTAAATTAAACCTTTTGATGAAGATCATTAAGATCATTCTAAATAGGTTAGATTCTTTTAATTTTTTTAAGGACTTTCTCATGCGTAATTCTATGTTTAAAATAGTGAGTATCAACTCTTAATGCATAAGCTTAACAACAACTCTATGCTAATGCTGGTCTATAATAATAAACTCCACATCTTCTCCAACCCCTATCCATTAATTACTAATATTGATCTAATTTCATTTTGTAACAATAGAAGCCTGAAGTAACCCATAGTTTATTAGATTTAGCACCATTACAATAACCGCAATTGGTTTCATTCTTAATGGAGACAGAATTTAATTAGATTATACTACTCATCATGAGTGTTAACAATTATATATTAAAAGGGAAATTGGAAGGACAAGTTTTTGAATTCATAAATAACATCTCATTTTAGTATGGTCAATATTGAGTATTACTTTATTTTATTTCGCATTAAATTTATTATCTAATATTTTATAAAATAAAACATTTACATTTCTATATTTAAATATTATTATAAAATAAGGTATCTAATTCTAGCATTTTAATAACATCACTAAATTTAAGAAAATCAATTTCAACAATAAAACAACAAAATNCAAAACAGTTGACTTAAATATTTTTTGTTCTATTGTTTAAGGTGTTTTAATTAAGATTTGATTATCCCATTATGATATTTTAAATTCAAATTATAGGTTAGATAAATATTTAGAAATTAATAATTTATACTCTTTGTTTTCCTCTAAAGTTAAGAATTGAGGATACAAGGGCTTAAATTTAGTTTGTAATTTGGAGTAGAAATAAGGAATTAAATTACATCCAAATCCCCATTCATTTTCTACTTTATTTATTTAACCTCTGAAAACAGTGATTTCATATATTGAGAATTCAGTTAAACTAGAAGTGAATAGATTAAATAGAATGTTTTAATGTTCAATATTATTAATAGAGAAGACATCTGATAATTATTAAATTGTTATAGAGGATAAACAATTTATAATAATTTATTTGAATTATTTGATATGTTCTTCTTCTTTATATTAAATGCTTTTAAATGTAAAATGTTAACCAACTTTAGAGAGAATGATTAAATCTTTAGTATCAATGTCTGTTTATATTTGAGATAAGATGGCTTAAGTAAATTGATCTTGATTAATTTGTGATTTAAATTAAACCTTTTGATGAAGATCATTAAGATCATTCTAAATAGGTTAGATTCTTTTAATTTTTTTAAGGACTTTCTCATGCGTAATTCTATGTTTAAAATAGTGAGTATCAACTCTTAATGCATAAGCTTAACAACAACTCTATGCTAATGCTGGTCTATAATAATAAACTCCACATCTTCTCCAACCCCTATCCATTAATTACTAATATTGATCTAATTTCATTTTGTAACAATAGAAGCCTGAAGTAACCCATAGTTTATTAGATTTAGCACCATTACAATAACCGCAATTGGTTTCATTCTTAATGGAGACAGAATTTAATTAGATTATACTACTCATCATGAGTGTTAACAATTATATATTAAAAGGGAAATTGGAAGGACAAGTTTTTGAATTCATAAATAACATCTCATTTTAGTATGGTCAATATTGAGTATTACTTTATTTTATTTCGCATTAAATTTATTATCTAATATTTTATAAAATAAAACATTTACATTTCTATATTTAAATATTATTATAAAATAAGGTATCTAATTCTAGCATTTTAATAACATCACTAAATTTAAGAAAATCAATTTCAACAATAAAACAACAAAATACAGCTTCAATAATTGATTATCAATAAAAAAAAAGAAATACTTTGAAATTAAGTTGGAAAACAAATAAAATAGATTATGTTTAAACACATAATAGAATCCTATATAAAATATAAATGGAAATTAATTAAATAAAAAAAGAAACCAAACAAAAACTTTTAGAAAAATCAATTAATTGTAATCATATAGCCAGAGTTAAATATTATTTATTTTTCAAATATCACATGTATATATATGATAAATCTCTTCAAAATTGAAGTTGAATTTTAAATAAAACAGAAACATATATATATATTTTTAAGAATATATTTTCATATTTTTTGATGTTTAAATAAGAGTAATTTTTGGTTAGAAGAACAACAAGATTGATTTTAATTAATTTAGCTATCTTAATCAAATAAATTTAATTGTATATTATGACATAGATTATTATTATTAAGTTTTTTTAATATTTAATTAATACTAAATATTCAGCATAAGTATACCTATCTTTTCATTTAATTTTAAATGATAGTTTAATTGTTGGAGTTTTAAATTTCTAGTTCCTGATTAAGCTAGGTTTATCGATCCTTATTTTTTGTAAGCCTTTAGTAAATTTAAGAATTAATCATAGATTAGCCAGTTTATTGATTATTAGTAGGTAAGTCATTAAAATTCTTTTTTTAATTTCTCTTAATATCTAGACTAAATAAAAATTTATAAATTACTTGCTCCAGTCATATTATCCTATAATTAAGATGCAAATTGTATAAATCGATTATACTCTCCAGAATCTTATAATGGATAAATTTTAATGAAATCACCTAGATTTGAATTCTCATACTCATCCCTAATTTTTTAACATTTTTAAATAAGAGCCTATTTGTCTTCTTAAGTAATTTTTTATTTTTTTCCTGTTAATAATCTTGATTACAATTATTCTTTTCTAGAATTAAGAGTTTATTCTTTAGCTTTTAGATTTACATTCATCAATATTAGTGTGTCTCTAATTAGATTTTTCTTAATAAGTAAATCTAATGGTGTATCAGTACTAAAACTTGGAGTATGATTAACTTCCAATAAAAAAGGTTATAATTTATGATCTAGAAAAATATCGAAACCCAAAATTTCAAAACACATATTATTAGCATAATTATCTGGCTAACATGATTTATAATGATGATTTAAAATAGGTTAAACAGTACAAAAGGTTTTAATAAATAATTTGTACATATCTTACCATAATTATGAAATATTGTATCCTTCCTCTTCTAATTTACCAAAAACTGATTTAATTGATCTTTTATGTCCAACATCCATTTTTGAATTATCATTATTAAATATAAAATTAGGATTTTCTTTATTGATAGCATAATTTGTTAAATGCATAAATACATCATTAAGATTATTATCCTAAGGCTATATGTATGGTTAAGTAGCAAATCTTACTAAACCATCTTAATAAACATATATTCTCATAGGATCTGTACCTGCTAATAGAACATATACTCTTAAATCAAATTTTAATCCATCTATTAAAAATGGACGATGTAAATATTGTTATACTACATAATGATCATTTGGATCTACATCATTAATATTTCTAATTAGAAATATTCCTCTACCTTAACAACTTGCTTAAGGTTTAACAATAAAAGTTTTTGTTTTACCTTTAATAAACTAATTTCTAAGATCTCCATATTCACATGGTAATAACCAAGTCTAAGGAAAAAACTTAAAATCAAAAGGAAATTCCTTTCTCATTTTCATTAAATTTTTTCCTAAATGATTTTTACGAGCAAGAGAGAACATCCCTGGAAAATGATTTATTTTTTAATGTGCTATCAAGATATTTTTTAATATAAACATTGCATTTTCCCTAAAGTTTCTGATTATACTGTACCATCAGTCCAAAATATATCCCATGTATTTCCATCTATTTCATATTATAATTTCCATTTAAATATTTTCTTACCTACTAACTTTACAACATCATATTTAGTATCTCTATTTATAATTTGCAATTACCTTAGACATTCATGATCAAGTTTTGCTTTCTCTTAGATTTATCATCATCATCTTCATCACTATTGTCATTAAAATATCCCTTAAAAATTGATTCACTTTCTTTCTATTATTTTTTAGAAAGCATTTATAATAATGTATGTAAGAATTTAATAATATTCATTTAAGAAAATTGATAGTTTTCAAAAGTTTCTCAAATATTTTACTAAATCACCAACCCTAAAAATCTTTAATCATATTATAAAAATATACTAAATATATAATTCCATTCAACATTAAGATATTTTTATGTTTTTGATATCAGTAACAAAGTAATATTCATCAAATGTAACTAAATTATTAAAAATTAATTTACCAATGCTCATAAATTAGAGATCGTATTAATATTAATTCAATGATCTGATTAAATTTTTGGATTCAATGTTACTGAATATATCTTATTATGATTAATATAGTCTTTATTGACAATCTAATATCTTTTTCATTTTAGATCAAACATTTGATTTTATGTAAAATATTTTTAATGAACATTTTATCTACCTTTAGCCCTGCTTATGATATTTGAATTAACTTTGGCCATTTATATTTTGCACATAAAATATTAAATTTAAAATAAAATCACACAATAATATAAGTAGATTAAATTCATATTTTACATATTACTTTTGTAAATAATTGAAATCTATATTTAATTAATTATCATATGAAACATTTATTTGCTTTATCTGATACTGATAATTCAATAAATATCTACTAATCTAAAAAGAGATGAAAGAGATCCTTATATAAAGTTTGATCATATTTAAAGGACTAAAAGTTACTAAAAATAAAGGAACAAAAGTAAAAATTAATAGTAATGAGAATTAAAGAATATTCAATTGATTTATTTAAAAAAATATATTTAAATGAAAATATATTATCATTACTCTAAATTAATGACTCTTGTTATTAATGGTTTATAATTTTCAATTTTATGTGAAACAATAATAACTGTTTTGTCTTAACAAATTTACATTAATGCTTAAATGATATCAGTTTCTGATAGACTATCAATATTGGATGTAGCTTCATCTAATATGAGAATTCTAGGATTTTTAAGAATAGCTCTAGCTAAAACAATTCTTTATTTTTATCCTCCAGATAAGGATGTAGTTCCATCTGATTTAAGTTTGGTTTAATATTGATTTTACATATTTTCAATAAAATTATGAGCTCTAGCCATTTTAGCAGCCTAGATGACTCTTTCCATACTTTAATCATATCCATGATTACCATAGATGATATTTTCATAAACAGTAGCATTAAATATGATTCCATCTTATTAAACATAAGATACATGTTATTAAATCCACTTAAAATCTTTATTTGATAAAGGTTCTCCATCAATTAAGATTTCTCCTTAAGATGGTGCTAATAATTTGGTTAAGAGATTTAGAGCAGTAGTCTTACCTGATCCACTTGGTCCTTATAATAAAACAATTTCACCTGAGTTAATTTAAATATTAAATGTTAATGTTTTGTTTTAATGACTTGGGTATGAATATTACACATTCTTAAATGAAATCGTTGGAGGTGGAGTAGTCGGATGTTCATATAATTCCTGCCATTCTTTTGTATGTTCACTACTTTAAGGAGGATTGAGTAATTTAGCTTTTAATATATCATCTAATTTAATGTATTCTCTATAATTTTTAGTTAGATCTGCTTAATTATATAATTCAGATTCATGTAGATTTGGATGAACATCAAGTATAGTTTTATAAATAGCACCAGTTTTAACCAATTCATTATATATTTATATCATTGCTCTTGTTCCTGATGCCATATATACTGCTTAAATAAAATATTTAGCTAATTCTGGATCTAAATGTCCAGTTGCAACTAAATAACAACCTTAAAATAGAATTAAAAACAATGCATACAAACCACCACCTTCCATTATTCCCAAATTTAATGCTTACATTTTTGAAAATTATGTTGCTTATTCATACCATCTAAATAATTATGCTGAATATCTTTAATTTTCTTTTTATTCCATATCAGATAATTTAATTAATCGATGTGCTTATAACATCTCTTATGATACTTCGCTTAAAGATCCTAATTCTTTTGTTTCTTTAACTTTAAATAATGACATATATTTTCCTAATAAAATAGCAAATCCTCCCATAACAGTTGCAGCAGCACTTGCAGATGCTAATAAAGGAAATGCATAATAAGATAAATATGCTGCACCTCCTATAGTTGTTACTATTCCTCTAATCATTACAAATATATCTTATGATAATCCAGCTGATACTAAACTAACATCATTTGATAATTTATGAACTAATTATTAGGAATGTAATTATTAACTTTCTCTTGTACTCATTAATTTCTGAAACATAGCATATCTCATTCTCATTCCTACTCTATTACTTATTTAAGTATTCAAATATCTACGTGCTCCTCCTAAAAACATACCTAATAAACAGACTCCACCCCATTTTAAATGATAATATCTATTAGTCTACTAACTCTTTTCTTTGTTTTCTTAATCATATTTTAATTCCTATAATTTTGTAATATCAGTAGTCACTTAAGGTAAATACAATAATAAAGCACTATTTAAACCAGCCACTGTAATTCCTAGCACATAAAATCTCTTCTCAGGTCTCATTAATTTTAAAAGATTCATGATATCCTTTCCAAATAATCCTTTTGACTTTTTGCCTTCTGACATCACTAAAAAATTATATTATTAAATATATTTATTTATCATATTAAATTTCTTTGGCTCTTAATTTATGGAATCATTTTTAAAATAAAATAAATGATAATAATACTATTTTAAAGTCTAATATTATTTTATATATGATGAATGTATTTATATCATCATATCATCAAAAATCAAATTAATATCCAAGAATTCTTAAATTATTTTAATTTTTACCTCCATACTTAAATACTTCCTTATAAAAATTCCTAATTTTAAATCTATCAAAAATATTCATTATAATTTACAAAATATAATAGAGATGTAAAACATCAGTATATATTTCTGATTTCAAAAAATTTCTTTTAAACTATCTCCTAGTTGTTTTATTGGAAATAGTTACGAAGTATATTTAAAGCAAAATCAAATTCTTAAATCACTAATAAGCTTTTATATTTTATTAATCTCATCTCTATTTTATATAAATACTAATAATAAATTATCTCTAATCCTTATATATAATTCCATATATTTCAAGTGTTTCATTAAATTTATTAATACTTCTATTTTATCAACATATTAAAAAGTAAATGTAATAATAATGAAACTAATTATCACAATTGACTTAATCAAGAATAGAATCCAAAATTAATGCTCTTTTTTATCATAAATATATGCTAAATTAGCTTCTATTGAACTTTTATTTACAACACTTCCTATAGATTAAGATAATCTTAATCATCTAAATACTTTTAATCTTGCAATATATTTGGATTTCAATAAAATATTGTCAAAAACATAAATTTAAAGCATATCTAAATTTCTATCTACATAGAATTATTATAAAAAATTGATATAAAAACTCAATCAAATATAAATTTTGCGAAAATTTCTAAAAATCCTAAAATTGATATTTACAAATTCTAAAAAAAGATGTTTAAGAGGATCTATCAATAGTCACAGATATTTTTGTTCAAAAATTATATTATTGAAAAACATTTATTTTTTAGTCACTTCATTTAATTATTTTACTCTATGTAGGAAATTAAACTTTTGGAATATAATAATCTAAAATATCCTTAATCATAATTTACAAGTGATTTCCATGAGATAGCTTTATTTAATTATTATTTATTTATATTAATAATTTTGTAGAATGATAAAATTTATAATATTTATCTATCTTGATTTTGTTTATCATCACATGTAAAGGTTTATTTCTTCTTTATATTCAGATTCCTTTTGAGTGATAGCAATTTTTTAATTCATATTTTTCTTTCATATGATTATACTAAATAATTATATGAACTCTCATCATAAGGATTATTTTTCAACTCAAATCATCAACATAAAATTGTTATTATTTTTTATTTAAAACAAATGAATTATGGGACAGGAATATAAATCTAATTTATGAGGTTTTAGTCATCATTTTATAAGTTGGCATCATTCAATTCTACTTCGATTTTTCTGTAATTTATTTTTCAAGTGACTATAGATTTTGCTCTCTATTTTTTTGTTGATGTTGACTAAATTCTTAAATGAAGGAGAATTAAGCCTATCATTCTTTTAATCTGCAATATTTTTTAATAATTTTAAGTTTAGTTTATTGCAAACTATTTTGGAGTTTTTAAAGAATTATTAGCAAGGATTTAGAGCCGAAAAACTTTCTATTTGCATTTAGAAAAAACAATGTCTTTTTAGATATTTAAAAAAAATAAATTTCTTTTCTTTTTGCATCGAGTTAAACTTTAAAAAATTTCTTAAAAGATATAAATTTAAAATTTCTTATTTATCTATTCTAAAAACCTTTTTATAAAATTTCTAGAAAATAATTGGTTTTCTTCAAATTCAACTCAAACTAAACAAATGTATAATTGCATTTTTTAAAATCATCTAATTACAAATATTATTAAGAATTTATTAAGAACTTTGTCTATTTTGACGTAAATAAAAATTTTTTTACTAAAAATAAAATATAAAACATTATTATTTAATTTAGAGAAAGGAAATAAAACATTTTATATTATTAGACTTAAAAGAGGACTTTTATTAAAAACTAATAATCTATAGTTAAAATTAAAAGGGGCAAGGGATTTTAAAATAGATAAAATGGTTGAATCTGCCAATATAATTTAATAAAATTTATTTGAAATTTTTTTATTAATAAAATCAATTTAAAAGATTAATATTAACATAATTCTTCCTTAATAATCATATTCAGAGGGTAAAATAAACTCAATATTTGGGGAAATTAAAACAATTAAGAAGAAACAGTTACAAACTAATTCTTTAATTACTTTAGCATAAAAGATTAAATTTTAGATATATTAGAAAACACAATATCAATAAATGCAAAAACTTTTTCCTTTAACTTTTTTGATAGTTAAATATCCACAATCTGATATGTTTTAACAACAAAAAATTGATGAAATATTTACTCAAATAAAATAGCTAAACTAGCTGCTAAAAATATGATGTAAAATGTTTTTTTAAAATTTTTAAAATGATTAAGAAAATATCAAATTTATTGGTCAATGATAAATTAATGTAATAATTAAATATTTTTTAAAACAATATAAATCATTTATTGTTAACCCATCAGGTATATTTATTTGATATAAATTATAAATACTTTACAAAATATATCTTAAATAATGAAATTATTGAACCCAAAAATAGAGATTTAAAATAAAAATAAAGTTATATATGATTTAAATTATTTGAAGTCAAAGCAATAGACAAGACTCTTTAATAAAGCATAATATAATTTATTAGTTATAATATAATAAAGTAAATATATTACAGTGAGACATAATAACTTGTTTTCTGTTTCTATTTTACACAGGAAATTAAATTATAAAATGAATTCTTTGCAGGTGCTTGAGAAGGACTTATTTCATTTATTGAGCAATAAGCACCTGCTCCTTATGAAAATATGAAATTATTGAAAGAATAATGGAAATATTATTTAATCTTAAATATGTTTAGTATAGAGAAAATATTTGTTTTTGAGTCTTTGCTTCTTATTTTTGAAATAAAAAAAATGAAGATAATATCAAAGTTATTGAAGAAAATTAATATTTAGAGATTATGTGAATGAAGACATATTTAAAAAGTAAAATAGTATCACAATAAATTTATTAATATAAAACAGATATTTATGATTAAATTTTTAGAATCAAAGGCAAAGAAGTTATTGATAATAAAAGAAGTTTTGTGAATTAAATAAAATGAAGTTACTGAAATGCTGATTAATAATACAGTAGTACAAATTTAGAAAATAAATTTTTGCTACTTAATGGAAAAGATATTTAAGATTTATTATTAGTTAAATAGATATTATTTAGAGTATTCATATAATTAATAAGTTTGAAAATAAATATTATAAATGGTTAGCAATAGCTATCATGAATTCTTTTTTTTTTAGATAAGGATTAAACAATTAATTGATGAAAAAACTTCCTTTAAAAATGATTCCTAGTATCAAATGATAGAAAGTTTGATATAAAAATAATTAATTGTCTAAAATAAAATGCTTCATTAAAGTTTTATATTTATTCTTAATTGTTATTATATTTTTTAAGTTTGAAAAAAGTACTTAAAATATTTTTTTTCAATTCAAACAAGATTACTTCAAACATAATTATGACTATACTAACTTCCAATATTATATTGATTTCGTTTCTAATTATTTATTTATATATTGTTCATTAATAAATCATGTAATCATTGAATCAATTCTGTACTGGTTTTACTTTACTAATACTAATATTGTAAACTAGTTAAAAGCTTTTTTAACTTGATTAGAATGCATAACAGATATCCTTAAATAGTAAATGGTAGCCAGTTGATTAATATATTGGAACACTTTTTAAATATTGTCCTTTGAGTGAAATATCTCATATAGGATCAGTTTAAAGAAATCAATCCTACTCCTATTTACTTAATTTAGGTTATGATTATCTTACAGAAAACCTACTTTTCATTCATTATGTGCAGTTTACTCCAGAAATGAAGAAAATTACTCATGTTGTTAAATTATATATAAAAAACAAGATTATGGTAGAAGAATTTGAATTTAATTCTAATGATTATGAAGGTAGATGGCATTTACAATATATGTATTATGATTTAAATTAGAAAAATGTAATATTAGGTTTTATGTAAAAAGAATGGAAAATGGAAAGAAACCTAAGTTCCATAAAATTTTTTCATCAAGAAATTAAATTCATCTGGGGAGGAAGTTTAAAGGTATAAATTTTTATCATTTTTTTAGAGATTTGATAATTCTTTCTAAGAAGATTTTCTGTTGAGCAGTTTTCCTGGTAAAATGAATTTTATCTTCCTTGAACCGAATATTAAAAAAGATTTTTTTCTCTCCAATTTAGAAGTTTGTGAATCAAATTAAAATACATTAATTAATGAGTTTTATGATTTTTCAACTCAATCTGTTCAATTAGAAGTAAATGAAGCTTATGATACACAATATTCAATTCAATTTTGGATTAAAATTGATAATTATTCTAAAGAAGTTGAGAATATTTAAGTTATAAAATTATCAATAATGTTGAATAGATAATTTTAATTAGATAAAGAAAATTAAGTTGAATTAATTAGTTTTTAGCTAAATTATTTTAGAGAAAATACAAAATGGTTTTATTGTCTATAATTCTATTCATATAACTATCCATATATTTTTTCAATTAATCAAATAAAAGATTTTGTGAATAATTATTTAGAAGAAATTGATAATGAATTTCTATTTTCATGGCATTTTATTAAAATAAGCTATAAAAATAAAAAGATTAATTATTTTATGAAAAATTTCTTATTAAATATTTAAAGAATGCATTACTTTGAGAATATATATTAATTTTCAAATATAAAGTTTAAGATAGTTTTAGGAGAGAACAGTAATGAAAATTTAATAAGTGGATAAATTAAAAATTTATAATATTAAACTTGTCCATTTATTAAGAGTATTAAAAATGACAATAATGATATCTATATTGGACAGTGTCATTATTCATGCAAAACATGCTATGGGCCTAATAGTAATGATTGTTAATCATGTGATGAATAAAAAAATAGAATATACAATGCAATAAATAAAACTTGCAAATGTAAACTATGGTATTTAGAATTAAATGAAGTTAAATGCCATGGAATATCTGAGTTAAATTTAAAAGAAAGTGAAATATACTTACCAATCGACCAAAGATATGATGAATTAGAACCTGTAATTTAATGTTCTTTTGGATATTTTCTATTTTAAGATTAATGCATAAAATGGTATTCTATATTTAATAATAAGTCCATCTGCATCATAATAAGGATCTATTTAATGTATTGAATGTTTTCTTTATCCAGATACATGGTTTTATAGTGGTGAATGTTCACAATAATTGTATTAACTAGAAAAAGATGAAAGAAATACATATCGATTCGTTAACGATAGGTAATTAACATAGTCAGGATTTTATTTAATGGTTGATGAAGAATTATTTTCATGTGATGATTGTGAATTTTGTACAAGGGAAGAATATTTGGAAAGTGAAGCTACTGGAAAGCCTTTTTGTTATTTACATCCTTTAAAACATATTAACCAAGATATATATATTAAATGTTAAACTGGGTATTTACATTTAGAAACTCTTAAATGTTATACTCCTCCTTCACGTAGGTTTATATATGGAAATAAAGGTACATGTAATGAATATTGTGGTTATTGTGCCTTGAATGTTTGCTAATTTTGCAAAGATCCTTCCATTTATTATAATGATTAGTAAGGTTTATGCAGAAAATGTAATATTTAAAATTGTAAATATTGTTTTTCATACAATTTATATGATTTAAATTAAGTATCTGTTAGAAAAACTATTTTAACTGATCTTTAATCTTAATAAGAAGAAGATTATGTCATAGCATGTTCATTATGTTTACCAGGATATATATTTAATTTTATTACTAATTAATGTATTAAAAAAGAAGTGCAACTTCCATGTCTTAATGCTTTTATTAATTTTGATGATGAATTAATTTGTACTAGTTCAATATAACTTGAACAACTTAATAAACAAGCAATAGAAATTTCAGGTTGTTCTTCATATTTTTAATTTTGTGTAAAATGTGTTTTTGACAATTTTAAAATGGTATAATGCACAAAATGTTAAGATGGATATTATCTTAATTATTAAAATGGAATTTGTATGCTTTGCTCCAATATTATAGAGCATTCAACCAAATGTAAAATGATCACTTCTTCATATGATTCATGGAAATATGAAGTTATGAGTTTCTATAATAATTTTGTAACAGATAAAGTTCCAATTTTAGTTTCAGGGTTTTATTTTATTTAATATTATATTGCAGATGAATGTTAAGATGGTTATATTACAGATTATGATTAATGTCTAGATGCAAATGATAAAAATTGTTTAAATTGGTAAATTGATAAAAATGGTGTAGTTTGTAAAACTTGTAAATCTTTATCTAATTATTATTAATCATACTCGTTCTTCAATAAAAAATGCCAAATGTGCACTTATCCTTGCAGTCTTTGTCAATAAAGAACAAAAGATAAAATTAATTTAATTAATCCATATTTTATTACTAATGAAAATAATATTTACTAAACACACTACTGTTTATTAAATTTTGACTCTGAACAAAGTTATATACATTCAAAATTAGGCAATATACAACCTTTAAATAAAAATGGAATCAGATATCTTTATAAAATTGATTAATTTTTTTATTAATATTAATCCTAAAGCTAACACTAAATAACTGAAATAGAGTTGTAATATTTAATTTAAAGAAACATACATACTTATTCAGCACATTATAACTCTTTCGATTAACTAAATACAATTAATCTCAGAAATATGATCTTTTCTTTATAATATTCAAATCTATATTATGATGGGCAAAATTAAACACATTCTGATAAAATAATCGATATTTTCAATTATTCAAAAGTCAATCTTTAAAACTTTAATTTATTTAATGAAAATAATATTTTGAATATTAATTCATAATATGGAGTTGAAGTAATCATAAAAAATCTTACTCTCTCATCAATTAAAGCTTATAAATCTTTAATTGAATTAACTAATATCACTAATCTAACTATCTCTAATCTTTAAATTAATGAATTTATATTTTAATCATCATCTGTTATTTCAATTAATAATTTATATCAATCAAATAATTAGAATACAAATCTGTTATTTTATGATATCATACTGACAAATTGTATTTTTATTAATAGTGTAATTATCCACATTAACAATTAATTAAGTTATATTGAAAATTTTATGATTAATAAGGTTAGAATTTTTAATTGTACATTTAAAAATTCTACCATTATTTCATATACTTAACAGTCTAATTTTGGTAAAATTACAGCATAAGATATAAATATTATTTAATCTAACATATTTGACACTGAATTTTTGAAACTACCAATCAGCAATTATATTCGAATAAGTTAACTGTAAATGTAGGATTCCTAAATTTATTAAGGAATTCTCATCCAATCTACTTCATCATCTATATTTGAATAAGTACTCTTTTAAAATGTTAAATTAAGTAACAGCACACTCATTCTACTTAAAGGGTATCTTGCAGAAACAAATTTTGATCATATATTAATAAATTTTCAAATTTAAGCCATTTAATTTTGGGGTTAAAGCCCATTCATAATTAAATATCGAAATGATTATCAAGGTTAAATAAACATTAGAGATTTATTCTTAGAATAGGGCAATATGATTGATGAAAGTAATTTATTTAAATAAAATGAATCATCATGTCTCTTTGATTTCCAAAGCCACTCTCTATAAATTATTAATTTTAAATCAATAAATAATGTAAATTTTCAAATATTTTGTTTGAACAATTTTAACCAAATATTTTTCAAGAACTGTATTCTTAAATAAGAATTATTAGGAGCAGTAAATTAAGATACAGATAAAAATTTAATTAATCAAGGATTCTTGTTTATAAAGGATTTCACAGAAATAAATCTTCAAAACCTATAGATCAATAATTTATATATGGTTGATTCATCATTAATTTATATTTTATCTAAATAAGATACCACATTAAATTAGAGTATCACAATTGATGGTTTGCATGTCACAAATAATTTTTTAATTAAAAATTAATTATCTACAGTACCATCATTTTTATACATTTAATCAGAATATTACTGTAATATTTAAATACAAATGATCAATTATGAGAATAATACAATTTTATATTAGATTGAAGATTCATAGACAATAGCTCCTGCTCTAATATTTATTTAAGTAAAATAAAGCAAAATAATTTTATGTTAAGGATAATTTAAGAATAATTACATAGCAAATTCTAGAAATTCTCATATATATTTAAATTCTGAAACAATAATATTATAGTCTTTAATTGTACAAGATATTAATACAGTTTATTATAACAATAATTTGAATTTCTCAACTATTTAAAGTCTTTCAAAAGGAGGATTAGGATAATTGATAGGGCAAAATGTTTTAATTTTTGATATAATATTTTAAAATATAATGGCTCATTAAGGGGGCTGTTTATTCATGAATCTTATTGAAAAAAGTAGAGTTTTAGTAGAGAATGTTTTAATTTAAAATTCTATAAGTTGGAATAATATGAGTATTAATTCTTATGGGGGAAGCTTTTACATAGATGCAACAAATTCATAGTTAGATTTAATTTTTAGAAATATTACAGTATAATTTTCAATTAGCAAAGATTCTGGAGGATTTATATATTTACTTCCCTCATAAATATCAAATAAATTAAAAATTGTTGATTCAAGTTTTATAAATTCATTTTCTTAAGAGAATAGCTTAATTTCATATCTTTGTGATTTTTTCTTAAGTAATAATAAATTTGAATTCAAAAATAATACTATTTAAATAGAAGAAAGCTAATACGAAGATTTTATTCTAATAAACTTTTAGATTTCAAAATCAAGTTAAAGTGGAATGATTGTTGTTTCTAATAGGTAATTTTAATTAATTATTTAAGCAAAATTAATATTGATTCTGTATTAATTAATGGTTCATACCCAGTTTCTGTATTTAGCTTATCCTTTATAGATCATATTAGTATAACAAATATTAAAATATATAATGTTAAATAATTTGGGGCTCCTTTAATATTTGTACATAATTAATAATAACATTAATTACCTAAATAGATAATGATGAATTATTTATGGTTAAGTAAAATAGAAATTAATAATTGTAAAAATATGAAAAATTAATAAAATGGTTCATTTATAAATATTTAGATTTTGAACTAAATTTAATCAACAATAAAATTAAAATAATTTTTAGTACTTCAAAATAATTGTTCTAATTGTTAAAATAGCTTAATCAACATACAATTTACTGAATTTACAAAATCAATAAATTTTGATGAATTGTTATTTTTTTAAAATGATTGTGGACTAAATTCTTGTCTTTCTGTAAATTCAAATTAAAACATAACCAAGATAAATGTAAAAAATGGACTATTTATATAAAATAAAGGTTTTATGAATGGAACACTTAATTTATAGGCTTCATTAATTAATTTAAAAAAATTAATTTTTATTGAAAATACAGCTTCAAAAGGAGGTGGATATTATTCATAATAATTTAATGAACTTAGAGCAAAAAATGTCTATTTCATTGAAAATAAAGCTGATGTAGGTGGAGCTATATATTTAAGTAAGAAGAAATTATAAAATTCATAACTTTCTTAAATTAAATTTATTGGTAATAAAGGTAAACATCCAGGAGATAATTTATAAGAATAGCCAAGTTATATTATGTTATAAATATTCTAAACTGATATTGAAACTATTACTTTAGATGGTGAAGATCAACCAAATCTTAAAAAGTTTCTTGATAACAATTACATATATTTACCAAGTGGTTAAAGAATAGGAAACTATTAGATATTTTCAAAGGAATTATAACATTATAAAAATTATAACATAGAATTAAAATTTTATTTAGTTAATAATTTATAATAAAGAATTTAAGAATTTGAAGATTAAGCTTAAACATGTATTGTTAGATAAAAATAATATATAGGAGATTAATTATAATCTAAATTTTATGATGAATTTGTGATTGATTATAATTAGTAAGATCAATCATTTAATTTAGAAAACGTAACAATAATTTTTGATCCTTATTCTTAATAAGATTGTTATTTAAAAATATAAATGATATGTGAAGTTAAATTTAATGAATAGATTGAGTATTAATTTAATGTAAAGACCTTTCCATGTTAAGAGGGAGAATATTACTTTGAATCTTAATGTTTATCATGCGATTCTAGTAAAGGTTATTACTCATTAGAACCAAAAGCCTCATATTGTTTAAAAATAGATCCAAAAATGATATAAAAAAATAAATAAAATGAAATTTAGTTATATCCAGGATATTGGAGACCTTTTCAGAAAAGTTCTTATATTTCCATCTGTATAAAGAAACCAGAGACATGTGAAGGAGGTTGGGTAACTGGAGATGATTCTTGTTCAATTGGATCAATTGGAGGTTTATGTGAAGAATGTGATATATATAATGTCAGAGGATTTGGATAATATTATTAAAACAATAATTTTAAATGTTAATTTTGTGAGAATTTTATAGGAAAAACACTCGTTTCAGTAGTCATAACCATCATGTAATTAAAATTTCAATTTTTAGAACTTTATTATCAACATATTTAACCGTCAATAGTGCTTAATTAATCTTCCTTAATTTTAAAAGACTAAAATATACTACTGTTCATTATAAAATTATATTTAGACAAGGATAAGGTATATTATTAATTATTATAATTATTTATAGATTAATCAGCTGCCTTAATTAAAATGATTGTAAACTATTTTTAAATTCTAATGGGAATAAAATCATTTTAAATTTAGATGTATTCCAATATAGTGGATTTTATAAACCCATTTAGTAATCCTGTTGGTAGTTCACTCTATTCATATGATTGCTTTTATAGCTAATAATCTAATGTTCCAGTTATCTACATTAATTTAATAATTAATTTATTAGTGCCAATATTTTATTATTTGCTTTTTATCACTGTCTATCTAATAGCTATTTTCCTTAAAAAAGCCAAATTATCCATTACTATATATTTTACAGCAATTCTTTATTTGCTCTTTTATACATAGCCTTAAATAATTAATGAATTAGGCAGTTTGGCATCTGAAAGGAAAATTTCAGGAATCTAATATATTAATAAAAATATACAATTCTTATATTCTACTAAAACTCATGATACTTGGATGGCATTTTGTATAATTCCATTGTTGATTTTTGAAGGATTAATACTTCCTCTTATTATTTTATGTAAATTAATCAAAATCAGATAATATTTTAACTCAGAAAAATTTCGAAAAATCTGGGGATATATTTTCAATGATTATTAAGAATCAAGTTATTATTGGGAAATCTTTAGAATATTCTAAAGATAAATAATTATTTTGACTTTAAATTTTAATGAAGAATAGATCATTTCCAAAGGATGTATAATGTTTGTAATCCTTTTATTCTATTTTTCTGCTGTTCTTATATTAAAACCATATAATGTTAAATCTTTAAATAGTTTTGAATTAGATTGCATTTGCTTGTGTGAAATTATTATTTTGATTACTTGTTTAAAATATAAAACATAACTTAATTAGATGGCAACTATTGATACAATATTAGAATTATTATTTATAGTTGTTTTTTTATATTTACTTCTTAAAATAAGTTTAAAACTGATTAATATCTACTATCTCAAATATAACGACAGATTTGATAATATTAAACGTTATTTATTTTATTAATTCCCTAGTTTAGCATAAAAAAAATCAATATTTTCAAAATTTATAAATATAAAAAAGAAAGATAAGAATAAAATATAATAACGATTTTAATCAGCATTCACTAACTTAAAACATATGAAAAACTTATCAAATAAATTTTCACAATCTAATAACTTTATTAAGAAAAACTCTTAAAATGAACATACACTTTAACTTTCTTTTTAGCTTACAAATACGTTAAACAATGAAAAACATGATAATGGATTAATCAAAGTAGATGATGATTATTAATGCAATGATCAAGATTAGAGGATAAAAGTAGTGTTATGATGATTAAATAATTTTTTTTAATTAAATCATAATTATTAATATAAATGATATAATAAAAACTTTAACTCTTTTGATGCTAAATTATTTTAAAGATATTAGGTTTTAATTTAATGTTAAATTTCTAAATTGTTTATTTTTCTTTTTTATAATGGTATAAATTTAGTCTAACTAATTGATTCATATTCTAAGATTTTTCATTCAAAATCTAATATTTACTTTTTTTCATTAATTTAGATTATCTTAAAACTTTTAGCTTCCAAAATAATTTTTAAACATTTTTTAATTTATGAATTACATTAACTCAATTAACTACATTAAGATTTATGAATAACTTATAATTTTAATTAAGCCTATGTATGTCATAATAATACTATATATTTTATTGGAATAGATGCTGAATTTATAATACTTATAGACATATTTACTTTACAACTCATCGATGCTTACTATTACTCAGTGAACAGGTTATATAATGCTTTTAAATAAAAATTCAATAAATGAAAATTTCAAAGTTCATTTGCTCTCTAAATCTTTCAAAAAAAACTTTGAGTGAACATTTATTGTTTTATATTCATTTAATTTATTAGTTAATAATTAATCTCCTCTCAATGAAGGTTATTTACTTTTATGAATAAATAAAAAGCCTAAAGGTTTACCTAACAGAAATTCCTATAAATTAAACCTATTATTTATATATTAAAAAACAGAATAAAAATTAATTCAATTCTCTTAGGAAGATAAATAAAATTTCTTTGAATTTTTCGAATCTAGTTTACGAAATATTTATCAATTCTTATGTATTAATAATTTATGAAATGATATATCATCAGTGTATATTTTCATTAATTATATAGATGTTTATACTGAGAAGTATAATTTTCGAATTAAAATAGCAGAAAGTTTAATGGCAATTTGATGATTAATCAGTATTTTAAAATTCATAGAATAAAAAGATTTAAGTATATGTCTGTAACTAAATATTAAATATTATGATAATAATCAGCATTATAATTTAATATAAAAATGGTTTTAATTTTCACTAAGACAATTCAGCATGTATTTATTTAAATTATTCAACTAATTATTTAACTTCGCTAATTGAGCCATAAGGTAACATATCTGCTTTTAATTGATTGTTTTCTTCAGTGAGATGATCTATTGTCATCTGCATTTACTTAATTTGTTATTACAATTATTCCTCTTTATTTAGTAATTCTATAATCATATGAGTTTTGCTTTCATTTTTATTTGTCAATTCAACTAATCTTTCCTAATACTATCTTAAAATATTCAAAAAGTGTTATTATTATTATTTAATTTAATTCATTTAATATTACAATCCATTGCTGATTATTTAATATTAATATGCAATACTTAATTAGACATTTTAGAATGTATAAATTCGAGCAACAAAATTATAAATATTTAATTTTAAAATGAATGTTAATTTAATATGTCCATAACATAAATAACAAGTACTCTAAGCTTGCCTTGATTTAGAATGCCAAGTTTTTCCTTTTATGTGTTAAATATGCATGAATGAATAATCAACCCTTTCTTAACATATGAAACATAATCAATTTGTCATCCCTTATCCACAATATATTACTTAGATGAGTAAAACTATTCAAAATAACATTAACGATGCTTAATCATTCAATGATCTCTTTAAATAAGAATCTGAAGTAATATAACAACTGTTATCATCTGATGAACATCTCAATAATATTGAGACTTTTATTTCAAAATTGAAACATTAAATTGATTCTGATATCAAATTAGCATTAAATTCATTGATCAAGTTCTTTGATTCATAGAAAATTGAACTATTTAATAAACTTGATTCATATCTACAAATTTATAAAAACAACTTTTTCTTATTAAAAGAATAAATTGAACCAATCCACTTTCTTTTGAATAAATGTAAATATTATGCAAATGAAAATAACTTTAAAGTAACGTATATACAATATTTAGTAAAAATTACACACTAAACCTGATTTAGGTTCTTAAGTCAAGATTTCTATCAAATAACTGTAATTAAAGTAACTGCAAATGTTAAAATTAAATTGTGAAATTTTCAAAAAATCATAAGAGATAAAATAAAATAGTTCTTGTTTAAATTAATTAATAAATGATACTCAAAAATCAATAATTGAATATTTTAGTAAAAATATATCTATTCCTACATCAACTATGTTAGAAATATCTCCCTAATCCAATAATTAATCTTTTACACCAATTAAAAGTAAATCTTTAGAATTGTCTCATATTGAAAAAACAGCTTTATAAGATGATAACAAAATAGCAATTTAATCTTTTGATTCTAAAATACAATTATCTAATTTATTACCTATTTCAAATATTCCAAAGTTTCATGCTTAAGTAATAGATTAAAGAATCATATAAGAATAAAACTAAAAAAAAGTAATTTATAATATTCTAAATATAATTTATAGATTCATCTGAGTGCAAAATTCAGGATTAAGAAAAAGTTATGCATTGAATTCCTTGTTTAAACTATTGCTCTTGTTAATAATTCTTATGTAGCACTTGGTTTAGTAGATGGATCTGTAAAACTCTTAGACATGAACACAAGTAAAATTAGTTTTTATCCTAACACCTATATTCAACATTAAAAACCAGTCAATCAAATAATTTTATTAAAATAAAATAAGGGAACAAGATTACTATCAATTAGTGAAGAGAATTTTGCTATACTTTGGACTTTAGGTGAAAATTATGTACCTTATCCAGAGAAAAAAATAGTTTGTTTTAAATAAAAATTAAATCATATAATGGATTTTGCTGATTCATTTCATATACTTTGTTAAAGTGACAATAATTTATAAATAATAAATTATTAAGAAAATAGAATAGTTCATTCTTTTGATTTTAAAAGTTAATTAGTAGAATTTTTATATTTGAGTAAACATGAGAAATTTGCAACAATTTCATAAGGAAATATTGTTTCAATATATAGTTTAAAATTAAGTATTAATACATAAAATATAACATAATTGGTGAATTGTGAATTAGAATCAATTTAACCAGCAATTCCAATTTCAAATATAAATACATGTATTGGAGTAGATTTTGAGAATGAAATAATAATATGTTATGGATGTTCAAATGGATAAGTGAAATTATATAATGTTTTTAAGAATAGTTTATTAGGAGAATATTAAGTAATTTATAAATAAAAAAATAATGATAGGTATTTAATAATGGAATAAAAGAAATGATAGTTTTAAAATAAGAGAATTAATTTGTTTTAGTAGTTTTTGGTGAGAATAGTAGATAAATAAAAGGTGTTTTGTATTAAAAAAATAAAGTACTAGAGTTAGATAGATATGGAGAATTGCTTGATTGTATTAGTAAGAATGGAAAGAATGTGATTTAGTAAACAGTTATAAAAAATAAAAATGGAATATATATATTGAGTGATACATAAAAAGATATTGGATTATATGAATTATGTTGAAAATAATAATAATAATATAAAATAAATAATGTAAACCTAACATTTAGAAGAGATAGGTGTAAAAGATGTAATAAAGATAGGAGAAGGTTCATTTGGTTAAGTTTACAAAGGAGTTTATGATGGATAGGATGTAGCAGTGAAAGTAAAGATTATGTGTAAATAATACTAAGATAATTGAAAATTGCTTTGTTTCTGAGATATCAATTCTAGAAAAAATAGATCATCCAAATATTATAAAACTAATAAAAGTAAAATATAGTAAGTGAAATTAGGAATTTAAATTTGGGAATACGTCTTATTTAATAATGGAATATTGTTCAGGTGGAACATTAAGAGATTATATCTAAATGAAAGTAAAAGAAGAAGAAATAATTGAAATAATGAGATCTTTATTATCAGCAGTAGAATATTTGCATGGTTAAGGAATAATTCATCGAGATATTAAACCTGGTAAATAGAAAATAATAAATAGATAATATTCTAATCAAAGATAAAAATGATTTATCTTCAATTAAATTAGCTGATTTTGGATTGAGCTTTTAATATGATGCTGAAATTTAGTATTACTAAACAGTTTCTCATTAATGTGGAACTTTTATATTCATGGCACCAGAATAGATCCTCAATTTATCATATAATAAAACTGTTGATACTTGGTCATGTGGTATTGTACTTTATATGCTTTTATAAAATAAACATCCATATTATCCTAAATATTCTACAAAGACTTAATTTATATAAACATTTCCTAATATTTAATATGATGAACCAAATGATGTATCATCTTTAACTAGAGATTTCTTAAGACGTCTATTATGTTATGATTCACATCGTCGTTATACTGCTTTATAAGCACTTTCACATCCATGGATTACTAGACGTCATTAAGATAGTATACCTATGGGTCTAAGAGAATTTACTATTTGTAAATTATTGTAAGAAAAAATGATCTAATAAATCAAAACTATTATGTTCATTTAATATCTAATTAAACTTAATAATTTTAATAATCATCGCAATAGATCAGATAGTTAAACCTACTCTGAAACTTCTATCAATTAATAAATACGTCCTAAAACTAAACTATTAAGACCTCTAATTTTTAAAAATTAAACATAATTTTAATAAAAAGAAGAACTTAAAAGTAAAATTAAACTCTCATAATTAACAGCATTATTGACTTAACAAAATAGTATTTAATCATTTTAATTATAATAATAACATATATAATAACAAATCATTAATAAAATATCTTCATAACCAACCTTAGATTCTCCTTAAAAAAAATATCATATAAAACATAAATTAAGTGTAGATTGTGGAAATGAACAACAGATGATCTAAATTGTATCATCAGTATCTCCTATAAAAGGTGAATCAGAATCTAGTAAAATTTAATCACCTAAAAAATCATTTAGAAATTCTTAATCTTTTTAAAGATTGATACTACCTTAATTGTCAGAATCAACTTAAAGTTCAATTAGTCCTGATAAAATGATAAAAAAAGAATCAAAGACACTTGTCATAAGGAAATCGTAATCTACTTTATAGATTTGTTTAAAAAAGATTCAATAAGCAAATGAATAATGTGAATAGAAAACTACACTGAGATAGAGAATGGAAACTTATGATTAAAAGAATTACAGTCATAGAATAACACAAAAAGCTAATTCATTGAATTCATCAACGATATCTCCAAAAAATAAATTGATTCAGCAAATTATTTAATAGCAACAATAATTCATTCTTCCATCATCATATAGAAAGAGATTATGATAAAATTGATTATAATTATTATGAATATAAATTTGATCTAATTGAGCTAAATGTATTCGAAAAATCAGTAATATAATTGTCGAGTGCAAAATTATAAAGAAATCAAAGAAAGTTATTTGAATTATCAATTATTTTGTATTGTTGAATTATTTGAACTATGAGAATGGACAAAATAAAATTATAAAAATATACAAATTTTTATATTTGTTTATTCAGATTATTTATTATCTATTATTTATAATGCACTTAAATTTTAAGAATTCTAATTCTAATCATCCTAATATTAATAATAGGAGAGCAAAATATGAACAATATTAGCTACAAATGATTTGAAATAAGTTCAAATAATATTTTTGTGATAACACATAAAAAGTTATCCCTAAGTTGATATGAATTTCTTCAGATATAGTTAGAGGTTTCAGAAATTTTGTAAAAAAAAACCCAATCAAATCTCTATTACTAAGTTTTTGTTACATAATTCTTAAATGATAGAAAACAACAATTCTAATAATAAATAAAAAATGTTAAATTTGATAGATGAATATAATTCATTTAATTAATATTTTTTAAGAAAAAGTTTAAACTATCTCTCTCAGATCACCCCATAAACGATTAAGATATCTTCAAAATTGAACTATAATACTTAATTGATAGCTATATCTCTTAAAATTTTGAATTGTTCTATTTTAAGAATTAATTACAACTCTAATTAACTATTTGCAGTGAATGAAATATAAAATAAAAATAAAAACGAAAAAGATTATTATTATTAAATAATATAGGTTATAGATTCCAACACAAAAACCCAATTTAAATAGAAAAGAATTTCTATAAAAATTAATTAATAGATTTCACATAAGTCCAATTGTTTATCCATTATTTTTTATTTTATTATTTTATGTAAGAATCATAATCCTAATCCGATTTTAAATTACCCTTCCTAGAATATCACAATCAACATCGATTACCTATTCGCATGAACCCTAGTTATAGATTAAAACATACTAATCCTGTTAGAGTACAATATATGAAGTTTATGGAAAGGAGAAGTGTTGACCAAATCAAAAATGAAACATATTACCTTGAAAAATTTGCTAAATTTAATAAATACCCATATCATGAAAGCAATAAATTGTATAAATCCTCTTTTTTATATTAGTGAATCAAGAAATCGAGATATTCTAACCAAATAATCAAAAGAAAAGAAACCGTCAATTAAATATCAAAAACCCTCTCTTAAGTATTTTAATTTAGATGATTCTGACAATAATATAGAACAAGTCTAATCCTTTTTTCACAACATTAAACCTCAAAAGGTTTTTATTTCATAATGAAATATCATTTTTTTTGAATAAATATATTAATAATAATATTTTTATGTAATTCCTAGAAAAATTAATGATTACACTTCAATACATAGCTAATGCTGTTAAAAGTATCCAATCAAGAAATTAACACATTCAAAAATTTGATACTGAACCTCTTATTATATGTTAAGACTACAAAATTGAAACCTACTAACTTATTGACATTAAATAAAAAAATAAAAAAAAAAAGTTAACTGCTAATCAGGAAACATAAACTTAAGAACTTCCAATTTAAACTAATAATTCAAATTCTGGTCAAACTTAGTAAGGCAAAAATATTAATATAATTGGATGTTAAAAAGATAATTCTAAAAAAACAAAAAAAATAGTTAAGCATCTTTCTAAATAGGTTGTTGATGTTGAAAAATTTAGTTAAAATTCAGAATAAACTGAACCATCTCAAATCTCTTATTGTTAAAGACATTTTTTATATTCATTATAAAAAAATGAAGAAGAATTTAAAATTTATTTACCAACCAAAGTATCTTAACTTAAACAAACAAAGTCAAAAATATTTAACAAATATATAAACAATTTAAGAGAATCTTTAGTTCAATAAAGATCTATTATAGAAACAGTATAAGATGAGGGTTCTAAACTTATTGAAACAGTTTTATGAAATATTATGAAATTTATTTAAAAAATGACAATACTTTTTATATTTTTGAGAAAATGTTGTGCTAGAGATAATGTTATGAAATAAAAATAAAATTGATATTAAAAATATCTTCATATTTATTGAGAAAAGAATTAATAGTAATTCAAAAAAAATAAATTTTGTTTTTTTCAATTATTTCTTCTGTTGGTGATAATTCCCCTTCAGATTCTTATGTATCTGGATGGGTATCACTAGAATCTCCAACTGATTATTGAGTTTTGACTAGTTGTTTATGAATATAAACAGGTTATTCATTTACAGATTCTTAAATTGTTTCTAAAGATTTAATTGCAAAATTATCTTCAAATTACTATAAAGATTCAGATTAAGATTAAGTTTTTATTCCAGTTATTATTGATGTCTAAAATTAATTCTTTCAATTACCCAATCATATTCAATATTTTTGTATCCCTTAAATATTGCTCTCAAAGATTCATAATTAATATTAGTTTCAAAAGGATCTAATATAATGTATATATATTACTTAAAAACTTAATTCTATTTGCGAAATCTAAAAAACATATCGGATAATTTTTAAGTATTTTTTCTGGTAAAAAACTATTTTTTAAGGAAAAATAATATTAATGTTTATCGGCTTTATTTTTAAATTGTTTTGAGTATTAAAAATATTCACCATTAGTTAATAAATGTATTACTATATATAGAAGGCTCTCGAGATCATCTTTAGGATATAGTTCTATTATATAACAATATTTTACATAAACTAAGATGTTAACCTAAACTTGAATATTTATTTATAGAATATGAAATTTAGCCTGCCTTTGAATAAATTTTAAATTAGCTTGATTACTAAAAATTAGTAAGTATTAAGTTTTTGTAGTTATCTAAACTTGTTAATAAACTTGCCAAATTAAGGTTCATATGTAAAAAGTTTGCTGAATGTATTAATTATAAAGCATCTATCTAAAATTCATTAAATTAATACGCTTTTCAAAATTATCAGTATAATACAATCATATGAGAAATTGTATTTTAAAAAATGAAACCAAAATTTTATGCTAGGCCCTGTTTTATTAAGTACTTGGTATCTATACTAATTCATAAAGATTCCATGATCAAGCAATTTAAGAAGACAATCTTAAAAATTTAAAACTAACTTATTATTAACATGCTTTCTATCCTCTTTATTATGGTTTTATATCTAATTTATATTATTAAAGTATTCTAGGATTTTGGTACTATTATCCATTTTGGAGAGAAGAGTCATTCTAACAACGCATACTGATTATGATTCCAAATAAATGGCTTTTTTGTCTAAATAAATACCTTCAAATATTGTGGAGCTTTTTCCAGAATAGATAACGTTTAATAGTAAGTATTTCTTATCGATAATCACAGGATGTTCCTTATTATTTTATGAAATGAAAGGCATTTTCTTTGATTAATATGTTATGTAATACCCTTAAAGAATGTGAAGATTTAGAATGAACACATTGTTTAGAGTTTTGAGTTTAACAGTCAATATTAATTTTAGGATGAGTATGTATCATAAAGTTTGAAAAGTTTTGTATAATTATTAATTTAGCAGATGAATTAGATTGAAGGAAAATATTTTAATTATTTGCAATAATTAATTAATAAAATAGATAATAAGTAAAATATGGGAATTACAATAAGATAATCAAAAGGGTTTATTTCATATTCTTTTATGGAGAAGATTATTAAAGTCATTAGGACAATTATGATACTCATTAAATTAGAGATCATCTTGGAATTATTGATCAAATGGATTTAAACTCTTTTATAATAGATTTTTAGATTCTGCAGCAGTAGAATTAACAGTCTTGTTTTTAGCTGATTCAAATTTACTATTTTTTTCTTATTTTAAAGAGTGATCAAGAGAATTCTTTCTTGAAATATTAAGAGATTTAAAATAAATAGAATCGACCAAACTGTACTTAGACAAGCCATCCAAAGATTAATATTCGAAATTCTCTTTAAAAAAGTCTTAATCTAAACATTCTTTCAGAGTAAACCTTTATTTTGGTTAGATTCTAGTCATTTAAATTAAAAGATTTTTTAATGATTATGGAACTTTAACTTTATCATTAAAAGTAAGTGTTCCAGGATTAGAATTTCTATATGGATGGACTCCAAAGAATCTAAATAATAAATATAGAATTACATTTCATAAATAATGATTCCTAAACTGTAAACATCACATTAAGTTGTATACATTTTTTATTTTTCTTTATATTCTTATACTTCTGGAGCTGCATAACCATGAGTACCACAATTGTAAAGCACATGTTCTTAATATTTTTAGTTTGTTGCAAATCCAAAATCAATAATTGCTATATCTATACTTTTTGGATCCTTATCTTTATACATAATATTTTATGGTTTTAAATCTCTATGCATAATTTATTAAGAGTGAACATAATTCATAGTTTCTAGAATATCTTTAACTAATCGTTATCTTTGAGACAGACTGAAATATTATAACTTTTCATATAAATGGCCACCTTCATAATAAGTCATTACTAACTCTATGTAATCTTATTTTTATTTATAATAAATAAGATACCATCATTTTCAAATACCTCATATAATTTTGGAATATTTTGATTATTTAAACTTCTCATTATGTAGATTTCCTCTGCTAAACTCTTAGCCTATTTATCTCTCATTTTATGTCCAATCGGTGCTTTTGCTATTTTTTTTATTGCAAATTTATCATTATTTATATTACTCCCTAAAAACACCTTCAAGATTATTTATTTAAAATACCTCACATGTTATTCCTTCACCTATTTTTTCATTGATTTTGTAAAAATTTATTAACATCTATTCTTATATACAATTTGACTTCAATTCATTTATAAAGTTTTCTACTTCTTCTGTTCTATTGGTAGTAAATAACTGTAATTATGATTAATCATGTGACAAACTGATTATTAATTAGTTTTCTTTATTTCTAAATGAACAATATACATTTTTAAGAACTAGAAAGCCTCCAATCTCACCATTCTTTAATAAATGACTAATAAAATATAAAAACTTACCACTTAAAAATAAAATAGATGTTAATCATAAATCTTATATCTTCTTGGAGTTGTTCTCTTTAGTAATTATCCTTGTTTAAATAAAACTATTGTTTATTGATCCTCAGACAATTTTTGAAAATCATAATTAACCAAAGACTTCAAATTTTTATTCCAAAAAGATTGTTTTTCAGATGATACAAAGTATAAAGAGTTCTTCATTAATATTTTATAAAAAAAAAAATCATATTCAATTTTCCAGATATCCCGACTAATAAATTAAACCAATATACAACCTATTTTACATCTATCTAAGACAATTCAGTATTCCTCTTCTTTCTATTTAATATAACAAAACCTATGGGGCAGAATTAAAATAAATCAGTTTTAATTATTAATTTTTACCCATTTAATCATTATTTATTAATTTCTAATCTAATTCATCGATCTCTAAGCTTCATTATTTTACACTTATTTAATATCAACTCTAGAATTGATCCTATCTATTGAGAATCTTAATGAAAAATTATTCATTTTTCAAATAAACTCATATTGATAATTTATAGAAGATAGATTGTCTAAATTCTATGTCAATTAAGATGCAGTTCTAATTTTTAAGAATTATAAAAACTAAGGGAAAAGAAAAAAAAATTAAATTTGGAAAATAGTCAAAGTTGTAAAAGTGGATGATTAAGAAAATTTAAAAACTAATCTAATGAATTAAAATGAAAAGTAGTAAATTTCTTTATAAAATTGAAGTATTTATTATTTTCAAAATAAATTACAAATATACTATATTAAATAGACACTACAGTTCAATTATCTTTACTTTTTTAGAAGAAGTATTCTTGCCAAAGGATTTTTACAAGATTCAAAAATAAAATTGAAATAATCTTTATTAATTAAAAATTGTCAAATAGCATTATCTTTATATAAAATTAACATATTACATAAACAAACAAAACAACCACTTTAGAACAGAACGAGTTTGAAAAGAGATACAAAAAATATTGCAAAAAGCTTTAAAATCAATCACTATGTATATAAATTGAAAATAAAATTATATATAATTTTACAGAAGAATTAATGGTTAAAGAGAAATTTTTGAATTAAAGTAGATTATTTTAATTTACTATTTTGTGAAATTATTAAATTATGGTAATAAAGCTTTTATTCAATTTATTTAATATAGAATTTAATAAAAATATCAATAAATTATATTTCTAATAAAATTGACTAATTTTTATTAGGTGTTCTAAGAGTAAGTAATCTTGAAATTTAAATAATAGCTCAAACTTTAAATTGAAATAGGTTCAGGTATTAATTATTATTATTTTAGGTATTTTTACATAAATTTATGATTGAATTCTGATATTATTATTAGATATTGTAAAAGAATCCTTAACTTCAAATTTTAAACAAAATCACTTTGAATAGGATAGAATTTGATAATTTAATCTAAAAAAGTAGGTTCAAAATATCTGAAGGTGATATAAATGAATAATTTTAAAAAATAGTCATATGAAAGAATATAAGATATTAGAATCACCTAAAAATAAAAGTAGAGTGCTCCTGTAAACAATCATGCATTAAAGGATAAGGTTTTGTAAGTGGAAATAGATCATAAATATATTTAAATTTAATTAGTCATTTCTGGTCTATATGAATTTCAGAGACCAATAATAGAGATAAAAGATAAGTAAGAGAAAATTTACAAAAAATTTGTGTCATCAAAAATCTTAATATAGCAAAAGAAACTTCTATTAAAACAAGAATAAAATTAGCTGTCTAATTTAAATATAAGGGGTTAAATTTAACGATAATGGCAGATTACATTTCAGGTTAGGTTGAATAATCAGAGAATTTAACATAAAATTGGTTAAATGATTCCTCAAAAAGATTACTACTTATTTTTTAAATTCAGATTAACTAAAACTCATTTAGATCAAGATTTTTATTTTTATACTAATTATCAAAAAATAATTAGTAATCATTTTTATCAAAAAATAGTTAGTAATCACATCAATATATAACTTAAATATATTAAAAAAAATCTTACAAAAAGAGAATCAGATTTAAGTGAAATGAGAAAATTTATAATTAAAGAAGATATCCCATAAATTTAAATTTGTTGTAGAAATAAAAAAAATAGATTACTTTATATTTGAACAAAAATGCAAATGATAAATTTTTTTGAAATTTAAGAATGAAATATAATAAATTATAATTTTTATTTATTATTAATTTTCAATAAAATAAAGTATCTCAAGAAAGCCTTATTAATTAATTAATTAGAATTTTAGGCCAGAATTAATAACAAAAGCGTGATTCGCTTTTATAATATACAAATAAATTCTTAAATTGAAAAAAATTTAATTTAATTTTAAATAATTTGATAAAAAATAAAATCTCTCTCAATTTTCTTAGTTAATTTTAAGTGAATATTTTACTTTGATTAAAAATTAAGTCTTTAAATATTTTATTATCAATCGATAAACATACACACAAATAAAACTCATCTAATTATAGTGGTTTTTTTATTGCAGTTATTCATCTACTATAAATATCTTCAAAGAATATTTTTTTTTTCTCTGATTGAAAATTTTTGTTATTTACATTAAAAACTTTCATATCAATAATTCATATAAAAATACATAATGATTAATAAATTATAGTATTGTAGCTTTTTAGATTTGTATCTAAACTAATTGAGTTAATATTATCCTATATATTTTAAATAACAAAGATGATATAATGCTTATTAATTTAAATTTGCTTTAGAAGATAATTAATTAAATTCTTTCTTAATAAAATTTATAAAATTAGTTTGAACAATTAATTGGCTCTAAATATCTCAATAAAATTAAAGTGATTTTTTTGGATGATATTGATAATTAATGATTTAATTATATTTTATTTTACCAGACTTTTTATCTTTTAGGATGGTAAAACTATTTGTCTATGATTGCTTATTAAAATAAAAATCTTGTAATTAAATTTAAGATGTGAATATCATTTATAACATATGTAAAGAATTATGATCAAGCAATTAAAAGAAAAAAAGTTTTATAAATTTAGACTTTAGTCTTCAGTTCTTATTAATCTAAATTATAAAAATGTGAAAACTTTGTTTATATATAATATTATTCTTAAAATCAATAATTGATTAGAATATGGATTCAATAGATTACTCATAAGTTAGATTTTCTTTCATTGGAACTAGAAAGCATATTNTTTGAACAAAAATGCAAATGATAAATTTTTTTGAAATTTAAGAATGAAATATAATAAATTATAATTTTTATTTATTATTAATTTTCAATAAAATAAAGTATCTCAAGAAAGCCTTATTAATTAATTAATTAGAATTTTAGGCCAGAATTAATAACAAAAGCGTGATTCGCTTTTATAATATACAAATAAATTCTTAAATTGAAAAAAATTTAATTTAATTTTAAATAATTTGATAAAAAATAAAATCTCTCTCAATTTTCTTAGTTAATTTTAAGTGAATATTTTACTTTGATTAAAAATTAAGTCTTTAAATATTTTATTATCAATCGATAAACATACACACAAATAAAACTCATCTAATTATAGTGGTTTTTTTATTGCAGTTATTCATCTACTATAAATATCTTCAAAGAATATTTTTTTTTTCTCTGATTGAAAATTTTTGTTATTTACATTAAAAACTTTCATATCAATAATTCATATAAAAATACATAATGATTAATAAATTATAGTATTGTAGCTTTTTAGATTTGTATCTAAACTAATTGAGTTAATATTATCCTATATATTTTAAATAACAAAGATGATATAATGCTTATTAATTTAAATTTGCTTTAGAAGATAATTAATTAAATTCTTTCTTAATAAAATTTATAAAATTAGTTTGAACAATTAATTGGCTCTAAATATCTCAATAAAATTAAAGTGATTTTTTTGGATGATATTGATAATTAATGATTTAATTATATTTTATTTTACCAGACTTTTTATCTTTTAGGATGGTAAAACTATTTGTCTATGATTGCTTATTAAAATAAAAATCTTGTAATTAAATTTAAGATGTGAATATCATTTATAACATATGTAAAGAATTATGATCAAGCAATTAAAAGAAAAAAAGTTTTATAAATTTAGACTTTAGTCTTCAGTTCTTATTAATCTAAATTATAAAAATGTGAAAACTTTGTTTATATATAATATTATTCTTAAAATCAATAATTGATTAGAATATGGATTCAATAGATTACTCATAAGTTAGATTTTCTTTCATTGGAACTAGAAAGCATATTTTTAAAGATAAAAAGTATTATATTAATGTGTTTGATGATTTTTTATTAATGGGAATTGTAAAATAAAATTTATGGATATTAGATTCCAAACTCATAAAATCCAAAATATGCAATAAAATTTAGTATAAATATCAAGTTTAGATGGAGTTTGAAGAAAACAAAAAATGGTTGGATTATTGAAAGTTTTTGTTTTCCTTATAAGAAGAGTGCAAAAGCAATATTTGGAAATAATGAAGATTTATAAAAGTATGATAAAATATATTCTTATATTCAGATTTAAAGAGTTTATAAATCTTAAAGTTACATTTGAAAATATAAATGAGATATACTAATAACTTTAATAAATAGGAAAAGGTAGTTCTGGAAAAGTGTTCAGTGCAATACATACAATAGAATAATAGATTTATGCAATAAAATCAGTCAAAAAAAAATAACTTAAATAATAGTAAGAATAAGGCTAAGTATAATAATAATTTTAATACTTTAAGGCAGCATTTAAAATGGAGATTTCTATTTTAAAATTATTATCAAAATATCCAGATAATTTTATAACTTTAAAAGAGATCTATGAAGGATAAAATAAACAGTGTTTAGTAATAACATATTTAGAAGGTCCTAGTCTAAGTGAAGAAATTGAAAGATTAAAAGTATCAAAATACATTTGAATATAAATAGACATAAAATAAGAATAGATTTTCAAGTTTAGAAGTTAAGATTATAATGAAGAAACTATTAATTAATCTTGCAAATCTTCATTAACATAAAGTATTAATTTTATAATTTAATAGATTATTCATAGAGATTTAAAACCAGAAAACTTAATGTTTAAAAAAAAGGGAGATTTTTCATCTTTAATTTTAGTAGATTTTGGATTGGCAACATATGAATCTTTAGAAATGTAATTTGTATTTATTTTAATAAGGTGGTTCTTTCCTAAATGTGGAACTCCTGGTTATGTAGCACCTGAAATATTTACTATTAAACCTTCTAATTAATATTCTACTAAAGTTGATATCTTTAGTTGTGGATGTATATTTTATAAACTTTTAACTGGTAACAATATTTTTTAAGGATAAACTGTTGATGAAGTTTTTCGTTAAAATAAAAAATGTTTAATTGAATTCAATCTTCCTTTAGATTAAAATTATGTCACTGAATATTCAATTGTATTAATTAGATTTTATGTAGAATCTTTTATAAAAAATGTTATTAAAGAATCCAATCAATAGAATTACTGCTTTTGATGCTCTAAATCATCCTTTTTTTTAAGATTTTAATGAAGATGTTTATCCATCATTAAAATCATTATAATTTAATCATGAATTAAATGATGATGAAGTAATTAATGAAGAGATAAGAGAAGAAGATAAATATTTCATCCAAATGCCAAAAATTACTAGAAAATGCTAAAAGATGAAAGATTTTTCATTCTTTTAATAAAATCCAGTATAAAAAATGTTTTATACTCAATAATATATTGATTATGATTCTCTTCCTGGATTTAAATTTATTTAAGTAACTTAAAGACCTAAAGTTTTTTAATTGTTAGAATGATGATTATATAATAATTCTATTTTATATAATAATTGTTATTTTAATATATGTAAAATTATGAAATTTTAGAAAAACTTTATGAATCTAAAACAACTGTGATTCATAAAGTTAGAAATGTTAAAGATAATAATATTTATGCAATGAAAGAATATCTAGGATTCCGTAATTAAGGTAATTTACTATATTTAATTCATAGGTTTAAATGAACTCTAGTTAATCAAATAATGTTAAATTCCTTTTGTTGTTAAAATAAAAGAAGCTTTTCTTTTAGAAGAAAATGTTGTAATAATTATGGAATATGCAGATTAAGGAAATCTGTAATAATTTATAGGACATCATCTAGGTGTTTACATTTAGGAAAGAGTTATTTGTAAAATTCTAATTTAATTGTCATTTGTTTTAATTTACCTTAGAGAAAATTAAATATGTTTTAAAGGTTTAAATCCTTAAAATATATTGATACATCAGGATCAAATTAGAATAGCTGATTTTGGCATAGATAATTTAATTTTACATTAAAAACCAAGTTACAGGCCTCCAGAATTATTATTTAACAATAAGTTTACTTACAAATCTGTAATGTATTAATTGGGATTGATCTTATATGAATTAACTACATAGAGATGTCTTTTTAAATATGATTTGATTGAATAAATAAAGGCTGTCATTCATAATGGAGGAGCGTAATTGTAATTATAATATAAGAATTGTAAAGATACCATCATTTTATTCTAAGTAACTTCGATTTATCATTACTAAATGCCTTGAACTTTAGGAATCAGAGAGACTTGATATTCGTTAATTAATTCATAATGAAAATTTTTAATTTATACTTAGCTAAAAGCATATGACTTTTACGTTTGAGTAATAAAGTATCTTCGATACATGGTGTAATATTAAGTTCTCAAATGAATAATTGATTAGTTTAGATACACCTATAAGTGAAATTTAAAATAAAGATAGATAATCTAATAACACAATTTATACATAAGATAATAGATTTATCAATAAATCAATTATCATAGAAACAAAAATAAAAAATACTAAAAAATAATAAAAATAGAATTTGTAAAAATAATAAGAAGAAATAATGCGTCTTAGACCACTTTCATAATAATAAAATAAAATGACTCAATCAAATCCTAATTTAAAAACTAATAATTTTTTTGCCAAAAACAATTTTGCCTGTAAAATTCGTAGAAAAGTAATATCCCCATGTTTAAATTAAAAACCAGAGAATTTAGATTCAAGTATAAAACCAGAAGAGATTATCAATAATCTTATTAAATTGAAAATGGAATAATGCATTGAAACTATTGGACTAGAAGAAACTCTTCAAACTTTAGATTTCCTAAGATAAGGAGGATCTTTAAAAGAATTTCTATCTAAATATCAAGATTCAAAACATTTATGCATAGCAAAACATTTGGAAGATATTATATAATTTTCATAAGTATGAATTTATTATGAATTTTTTGCATTATTATTTTCAAGATTCTCATTATAATTATTAATGTAATGTTTTTTATTGTATTAGATTTTAAAATTATAATATTTTAATATCAAATGGCAGATCTGCAAGTTGGACATGTTTAATTTATTACTATCCATTCTGATAAACATTACTTATGGAATATGTGTAATTGATGACATTTCAACTTATAGTATTCTTCATTGATTTAAAAATTGTGTAAACAAATGTTACATTAGACTTAGGATAATTCAGAAAGTAAAGTCTCTTCTACTATTTAAATTTCGTATTTGTTTAAAGGTGAAAATTATTCATACTCTAATTCTTGAAGATTAGCTATTTACATGTAGATTTAACTATATAATCTTTTTGAAATTATTGTCACTATTGTCAATGTTGTTACAAAAAATACAATTAAGATTCTAGCTGTGGTCATAAATTGCAAAAATAATCCAATTATTATAGCTGTCATATATAATTTTAATACGTGAATCTTTGATTGAACTTTTGTATTTAGATTATGCTAAAATAATCAATACCAATAAACAAAGTTATAAGAAAATAGTTAGAATTTTTAAATAAAAGCAAAAACAGTGAGACTTTTACAAAATCTACTTAATTTCATAATCAGGCCTTTATTCTATATCATATTAAAACCATAGCAATCCTTCTAAATATTCAATTTCATTTTAATGAAATAGTTTTAAATAATATAGAGAAGGTATTAAGGAAATTGAATTTACTGCTATTGAGATAATACCAATGTAGAATTAGGTTTGGTTTTTCAAAGTTAAACAAATAGAAATTATACATAGAATAATCTCTACCATTTAATATATAGCAAGCACAAATATTAAGAGATAAACAAATCTAAGCTGATTTTACTATTAAGAATATTTAACATAACTTCTTAAACTTTATTCTAAAGCCTTTTAAAATTATATTTATCTAGCTTAATGTATATTGTCTTATAATTGATCTGATACCAATTCCTAATGATGATTCTCATTATCAGTTAAATTAGTTGACATTTTATATTATTGTTAATTAATAATTAAGGAAATTATATAGCACAGGCTAAATACTAAAATTAGAATACTTATTAGAGTGTTTTTTAGATAGATTTTTAATAAAAAAAGATGAAGAAATCGATCAAAAATACAATCGATAATGAAAATTGAAAGTTAAAGTTCCTTAAAAAATTAAATATTTCTATAATAAGCTCTTTTAATTGATGTCATCATTAAATATAATAATAACATATACATAGTTTAAATTCTAATTTATTTTAAATTAATGAATTTTTATCGTCATCATTTTTTTAAATTGAAACTGTTCTTGAATATTTAAAAAGTAAAGAGCTATTAGATTCAAAGTTAAAAGTAATCGAATATAAGAGATGAGATAATTTAGAAGAAGGTTTGAAAATATTTATATCCTAAAATCAAATTTATTTTGAAGAGATATAAATAAATTTAAGAAAAATAAAATAATCTCATTTTCTAAATAAAAAAAATGAAAATTTAGTAAAAAATAAAATAGAATAAATGATGTAATAGTAAAAGAATTCTAAAAATGTTTTTTGAATTTTTGGTATAAAATTTTGAACAATGTGATAATATATATACTAGATTTAAATTACAAAATGAAATTAGAAAATTAATTGGTTAATTAAATCTGATGATTTCATTAGAATAGGTCCGTTAATAATCAAAAATAGATAAAATGTAAGTAGCAGGATTGATCTATGGATCATAAGAAAGAGCAAAGTAAAAACATATATATATATATTAAATAGAGAAATACAGTAATTTTTCTTAGATTGTGAAAAGGTACCAGAAGTTCAAACAAATGCTGATTTTTATAATTGGAGTAGAAAGAAATAATTCTTATCTAAAGATAAATAAGGTTTTAGTTTCATGAAAATGATAAATAATAAAGTAAGAAGATTAGATTAAAAAATAATCTAGGTTGATGATATGGAATAATATACAGGACCTATGATATATAGTGCAACAACAAATCATTATGGTGTATATTTGGGAATGGTTGTACCAGCAGTAAAAATTTTAGGGACTGATGAACAAATAAAGGCGTATAAGTTAAATATGAAAATTAGATGGTTAGATGATTTAATAAATATTCGTAAAGCAGCTTGTTATGCATAAACAGAATTAGGTCATGGATCAGATATTTAGAGTTTATAAACAACTGCTACTTATGATAAGTAAAGAGAAGAATTTATTATAAATACTCCAACTATATAAGCAGCAAAATGTATAGTATATTAATTAGAATTTTTAGTTTGGCCAGGAGATTTAGGTATTTTAGCAAATTGGGCTTTAGTTTTTGCTTAATTAATAGTGGATGATAAAAATTATGGTGTATAATCTTTTATGGTTTAAATAAGAGATGTTGAAACACATAAACCATTGAATGGAATTGAAGTTGGAGATATTGGACCAAAAATAGGATATTAAGTTAAAGATAATGGATTCTTAAAATTTAATAATGTTAGAATACCTAAATTTAATATGTTAGCTAAATATATATCTATAACTCCATAAGGAAATGTAATTAAATAAGGAGATCCAAAAATATCATATGCATCAATGATGATGATGAGAAAATTATTAAATACTGTTTATCCAAAAGCTGCTGCTATTTCATTAACTATTGCTTTAAGATATTCATATACAAGATAATAATTTACAAATGATTCAAAAATTGAAAATTCTATTATTGAATATTAAACATAATAACATAAATTATTACCTTTATTAGCTAATTTATTTGCTGTAGTTCTTTCAGGGAATATGACATCTAAATTTGTTGATTTTAATTTTAATGAAGTTTAAAATGGAAATTTTTAACATATGAATGCATGTCATTCATTACTTTGTGGAACAAAAGCTAATTATACTCATTTTGTTGTAAATTGTGCTGAATGGTGTAGATTATCATGTGGAGGACATGGTTATGCACATTATTCAGGATTACCTAGTATATATTAAGAACATTGTCCTAATGTAACATTAGAAGGAGAAAATTAAATTATGTTTTTATAATTAGCTAGATATTTATTAAAATTATTGAAAACTTCATAAAAGAATCCATAAAAAATACCAGAATAATTTTCATTATTTAAAAAAGTATCATTTATTCATTTATATTTTTTAGATTGATCAAATATTATAATTTAAATGTGATCAATTCTAATTTTCAAATATATTGTCATTATTAGAATCATCTGTTATTCATTTAATTACGTAAACTGGTATGAAAATGATGTAAGAAATTTAAGGAGGTTTGAATCCTAAATCTGCATGGGATTATAAATTAGGTTATATTTATAAATATTATAAATAGGTACATCACTTTGGGAATCAGCCAATTATTTTATAGAGTACTATAAATTTGTTTGTTTTTAAAAAACTATTTTATAAGTCACTCATTTATAAACTTAAGTTGTATTAACAAATTTATTAAATCTATTTGGTATTACAATACTTTTACAAAATCCATTAACACTCTTAGAAAATGATGTTGTTACTTAACAAACTATTAAACAAATGAAAGACTAATATGAAAATTTATTAACTTTAATCAAACCTGAAGTAAAACATATATATATATTATTTTAGGCACTTGTATTAATAGAGTCTTTTTGTTTAGCTGATGGAGGTCTTAGAACCACTATTGGAAGAGCTGATGGAAAACCATATGAATATACTTATGATTGGGCTCTTAATGAAAATTCTATTAATTAAATGGAGTTAACTAGTGTTGTAAACCAATTAAAGAATTGCAGACCAAAATTATGATTTAACATAACAAAATAAATAAATTAAAAAAATCTAATCAAATATATGCATTCCCACTTATATTATCTAATATTATATCCAAAAATCGTTTCAAATCTTCCAAAATTCCAGCATTTTATTTTTAGATTTTTTCAAATTTTTGTTTTTTTTCTAATCCTTCAATTATTGCTTAACTTTAATCAATCTAATCATCTTATTCAAATTTCATTTCTTATGTTTTTTCATTAGTTGTAATCCTTTTTTAAAGAACCTTTATTTTATTTGTTGATTTAACTTCAGATAGATCAAGAAATGAACTCATAAAAAGTATTTGTAATAAACTGAATACTTAAAAAAATATCTATCTACATTAAATTTTATGCTATTAATTAAAATAGTTTTATTTCTTATCTTAATTAATAATTTCTGGAATTATTACAGAAAATAGAATAAATTCACTTGTAATTAATTGAATCTCTTTTTCAGATAATGAAAATACATTTGCATTTAAGTAAGTTGTTCTTCTAACTACAAATAATGAGGCTGTCTTATTCTAATAATGATACAATTAAAGTGTCATCATGAAACATAAAAAATCTGGCATACTTTCTTATCTTGTATGTTACTCAACATTTTTGAAAAATAATATCGAAAAATAAATTAACCATTTTTTCAGAATTTCTTATGATTCTAATTAATTAGGATTAAAATTTTGAGAAAATACTTTTTTCATTTCATCTCCATTCATTCCTTAATAAATTCTAAGAGTAATTTTATTTACCCAATTTGATATAATTGATTATGATTGTGCTTAATCATATTTCTTAATTTCTTTAAACAATAGTTTTGCCTTTTTATTTTATTCCTATTATAGTTTCTCTTTTTCTTTTCTTTTCTTTCTTATTTTATAAATGTAAAATTACCTAATATTTTCTGACCATCTAATGACAATTAAAATGACAAGATGACATCTTAAAAATTTATTCCATAAGTTTTGTAATCTTTTTTCTTTGTCCTCTTCAATTCTTTATTTTTCTTTCATTTTAAATACCTCTGAAGCAACTTCTTGAGGAGATAATACTTTTTTATGATTATAATATTTAAGTTTATAAACTTTTGGTGTTTCTTCTTTTCCTTAATTTACTAAAGATTTGATTCTATTTCTGATCTACCCTCTTGATTCCACTCTACTTTCAGATAATTATTCTTCATTTTATAATCCTTTTACCATTTTAGTATTAAAATCATTTGATGTATCAATAAGAGGTAATTAGGGTTTCTTTTATTCTTACTTAATAAGTTATTCATATTCCATCTTCTTATACATCATTTACAAATATAGATATTTATTATTTGCTAATTATGCCTTATTTTATTCTTCTTTTAATTTAGCATGTAAAACTTGATTCTGAACAACTAACTATTAAATTTATGGAAGATTATATGAATTCTTAACACTTTCTAAGGTTTGTCTTGTTGTTAATGGATGAATAGGAGATTCTACAGACTTTGAAATTAATCTTGATGCATTCATTTTCATAAGTTTCATGTAATTTCCAGTTGATATTCCTTTTTCATTTTTATCATTCAACAATAATGGTTTATAGGGCTCCATATTCGCTTATAAATAATCATTTAATTTCATATATATATTATAAATTATGAACTATGCAAACTCTCTTAAAACATAAATTACTTTTATTCCTATCAAATTATCATTAGATTTAGGTGTAGAAGCTCAAGTTTTCTTAAATTTTAATTGTGGCTCGCATTCATTAACTACTTAAAATGGATGTATATTTTAATAAAGAGAATGTAATTTCGATTATCAATAACTTAAAATTGTCACAACTATGAATATGAAGAAGGGTAAATTTCAAGAAAAGAAAGTATGTAGATAAATTTAATAAGGCTAAAGTTCGTGTTATTCTACATTATAAAAATAGCTATAAAAAAGCTGGAAAAATTAACTTTGATATTAGTGAATATATGAATTAATAGATGTAATAAGTATAAGATGAAAAAATACTCACAGATTGTCCTGATTCTTCTGCTATATTAAAATTTTAACTTAAATTTAAATAAGCTGTTTTAAATAAAAGCAAACTCTTCTCTGATATCCAATAAAATTTATTAGAACCATAATCTTTTGTTAAATCTATTATCACTCTACCTGATGGTATAAATGGAAAAAACTTAGAAAAATGCAATAATTGTTTAAAATTACAAGAATAACTTTAAGAATTAAAAGCTTAACTTTAATCAAACTCATAAAGAAGCACACTCTCATAAAGAGATAGTATTTAAATTAGTAAATTTTAAATGTTAGAAAATGAAATTAAATGCTAATATCAAATAGAAAGAGAACTTAAATCATTTATAGAAAGTTTAGGTATTTTTTATATCATTATTAATAAGAATAAGAATTATTAAAATAAAAAAGAATTGTTGCATAAATAATGTAAGAATGTCTTTAATTGGGAGATTCTAAACTGATAGAACTAATCGAGAACATAATTTAATAATAATGAAATTTGTAATAATATTTTCCAATCCTACATGTATTTTTAATCAAAATGTAATATAGTATTTCTAATTCAATACTTTAAATTTACTTAGATATCTACTAAACTATATATTCCATGATATTTGATTAAAACATGAGAAATGGTAAATTATATATGTTTACATTTTTCAAGCCAAAATAGTCATGTAAAGATTACAACAAAATCTCTCAAAATTCTAATCCAATATTTTTGATACAGTTTTTTTATAATTCAAAAGAGATTGCATTTCTTCATCACTAAAAAGTCCTATAATAAGAAGATCATTATTATTTGATGGATTAGTAATTAAATTCAATTTAATTCTGTTCTATGTTTATATTATTTAATGAGCACTTAACTTTTGGATATTACTCTTCTTTTATTTTAGTCTATTAAATTTTTTAATGAATAGATATTATAAAAGGCTTGCTATTAATTTAAGTAAAAATAAGCACTTTTAATTTGAGTCAAAAATATTCATTAAAATTTAATCAATTAAAATTGATTCAACCAAAATCATTGTTAGTTCTTCCACTTTTATTTATCTATTTTTTGTATGCAAATATAAAGTTCTGTTAGAAACAAATTTTGAAAAATAAACTTTATGATCTAAAAATACTTAACTTAATAAATAGTATTTCAATTCTTCACAAAAATATTTTTGTTATGAAAAATATGCTAAATTTTCTAATAAAAACTAACAAGAGTTAATTGATTTCATCAATGATTAATCGACTTTTTCTTTGTCATTAGGTAAATCAATAAAATTATGAAGTTATTGATTTACTGAAGTAAGTGATTTAGCACAAACTGCTTTACACCAAGCATTAATTCGTTCAGTCTGTAACAATTCCAATTTGAGAAAAAAAGTTATGTTTTTGAGTTACATCTAATACTTCTTCCAAAGCGAATAATTTAATGATTTCTTGATTCTAATAGCAGCAATAATAGCAAGTGATACTATTTTCAAGTATTTTTTCATAATTAATGTTCGTTATTGTAATAGTAAAGCTTTAGCTCTTCCTATAATCTATTTATGTTCTGTTGTGGGTTTAGAAATTATTTCTTTTGGTTGAATTACTTTTTCATCATAATTTACTTGTAATTATTTAACTTCTTTTTAAGCTTCTTATTGAGGTATTATTTTAGGTTACTATGTTAATGGCTTTTTATGAGATTCCTGCCATTTTCGAGGAGATTGATCTCTGGAAGTTGGCTATTTTTTAATTTTTTCTAAATAGAGATTTTCAGAGATGGAGAGAATATCAATATTAGGAGTAAAGAAGGGTTGCTCATATACTGTTTGAGTCTGTATGAACTTAATGCTTGAGGATTTACCTTATTACATAGCAAATTTATTTAAAATATTAAAAATCCTTTTGACGACGTAATAAATAAAATGATACTGTTAAATTTTATTTTTATATGAATTGTTTTATTAAGTGTTATTGTAGACATATATACATCAAATTAATATCTATCTCACATTTCACAACATAAGTTATATATAATTTAAGTATTAATTTATTTAAATAAAATCTGTTTTAAGATTCTCATTTAGCTAGATCTTTGAGAAAAAACTATTTTTATGTATTTCTAACATAATAATATATATAAGTATATTTTACAAATATTTATTCTACTTTTTATTTGTAGGAATTTTATCTAATTATTATTTAAATGAAATGAGTAATCAAAATATAATGTATACAAATTATCATTAAACATTGGTTATGTCTATTAGATCTCCAATGTTGGAAACAATTTTTGAAAATAATTTAGAAATTTACACTGTCCAAAAAGGTTTAGATTAAATTAAATCTATAATTGCTGAATACTCAAAGCCTCCTATAATGATTTTATTTTCATTTTCATCAATTTTATTATTGACACTGAAAATAGCAAAACATGGAAAACCTTAATTATTTTTTTTTAATTGAATAACTCTTTAAATGGGTTTTATATTCGAATTTTGAATTTTATTTAACTTTTCGAATTATTTTGTAAATATAGCCATTAGCACGCCAGTAAAAGCAATAAAATAAAATAGAGTTATAATAGAACAATCTTAAATTTTTTAATCTAATTCATTTGCAATATCTAATATATTTGGTGCAATAATAGTAAAAATAAGATATTCTAAAGCAATTAATACTTTTTATTAAGAATTAAGTGAATAAACTGTTTTTGAATAAAATTTAGTCCTATTTATTACAAATTAACTTGTTTAGGTATGTTTTCCAGAAAAAAGACATAAATTTAATGAATGTAATATAAATGGTGGTATTATATTTTTTCTAGTTATTAATTCTAAATCTTAAAATAATATCTTTATCAAAAAACATAACCTTTATTTTTAAACATCTTGTCTTATTTCAACTCTCATACTTTTAATATTTTAGCATTCTTAAAGATATGTCTATTCTTTAGTTATTCTATGAATCTTTTAGAATAATAAGTCTACAAATTTTCTATGCTATATACTGTGTTACTAAATTCCAAATAAATTAATAAATTTTATATGAGACTCTTCTTATGCCTAAAAGTGCTTATTCGCTATCTTTCTCTTTTCCAATATTTTTCTTAATTTAATATATATATTTAATTACTTATATTTTTTTGATAATTTTAATATAGCAAACACAACAATCACTATAATTCTAAATTTTTTATTTCTAAATCTAAGTTGAAATTTGGGTTGACTCTATTTATTTAAATTAATATTATTCCAAATTTTTAATTATAATGAAGGTCTTTTATTTCTAGAATTCACCGTTTTACATCTTTCTTCTTCAGAATCCTTTAGGCTTGATTCTAGATTTATTCCTTAATTTTTGGTTTTCTATTATTTAACCCCTTCCCTAAGCTTTTATTTAAATCTTTATGTGAAAATTATTTGTTGGTTATTTTTTTACATTTCAACATCCTCTATTGTATTTAAATTTATTGAATGTATTTTATTTGGTTTGAATGATAGTATCTTTTTTTTTAATAAAGCTTTTCTAAAAGATGATTATTCATTTAAATTTGTGCTGAGATTAAATTACATTCCTTCTAAATTTCTCAAATTATCCAAATTACTTTCAATCAAATCCTCATATCTTTGTTTTTAGCTTTTTATATAATCTACAATCTATCTATTTTCTTAAAGACTTCTGTATTCCTCTCGATCTGTCACTTTACGAAAATTTTATTAATTTTCATAATTTTCTATTATTTCAAGACCTTTCTTGATATTACTGAAATCTTAAATGTGTTAGAACATTTTGATTTTTTAGTTTTGATCTTATCTATCATTTTATTATTAGGATATCAACGGAAGATTATAATGATGTGCAATCAATGTTTTATTTATGTTTTATTCAGTTCTAATAAGAAAAGATGATGGTGCCTATAAACTTAAACTTTTCTATCGATAATTTGTTACTTGAGATTTCATAAATTGAATAAAATTTATTTATGAAATTCATATTAAATTATTGGTATATTAAAATGGTAGATAATAAAATAATATAGAACATCTCTTATTTTGATATTATAACATCTAGAGAACTCATATGAAATTCTCTTTATAAATTTTTTTGATAATTCTAATTATCAAAAATGTTGTCAATTTTAAAGTGTTTGATTTTTTTGAATTAAAAACCTTTTTAATTCTTTATGTAATGTAGTTATTTAGATTTAGCAAGCCTTATAATTTTATCAATATAATATTTTTATTTATAGATGTATTATATTTTGATGAACATATTTTAATAAATAAACAAACTTTCTATTAATATGAAAAATAATATATTTTTTATCAATTATATTTAAATTGAAAATGTATTCCAAAAATATGAATCAAAAAAATAAAAATACTAATAAAATTTTCATTTTATTTACTAATAAGTAAATTTATTTATTGAATGAGGATATTTTAATCTATAGAGTACTTAATGATAATTTCTATAAATAGAAGAGTGTTCATAATTATAAAATTATTATCAAATTTAAAAAATAAATGTTAATCAAATAAATATAATTAAACATGTTATAAAGAAATCAATTTTTAATAAATATATAAAAAAATTAGATAATAAATTGTGTATCTATTCTTTTCAATTTAATTTTTATGAATTAGATTTATTTATTTTTGATATTCAATGATGATTATTGATTATGTATTCATTCACTCGATGTTTTCAATATCTATTAATGCTTCAATATTTTCAACTAATTTCGAGAAAATTTTTGTCATTTAATTTTTCCACTTTAATTTTTCAGTAAAGATCTAATTTATTAAATTTAATTTAATCTATCCAGAAATAATCATGTCTTCATTTTTCTCTAAATTTTGAGATATTAGTAATTCTGTTTTAATTTGTGTGTCTTCTTCTTCTTCTTCCAAAAATTTGAGAATTAATTACACAGGTTTAACATTTGATTTTTCTATTTTTGGTAATTTTTTAAAATGATTTGTGAAAAAAACTGTAATTAGTATAATAATAGCTGTCAAATAAAATTAGATAATTAAAAAATGATCTTAATTATTACAAATTTATTTATTTGCAATATCTAATATATTTGGTGCAATAATAGTAAAAATAAGATATTCTAAAGCAATTAATACTTTTTATTAAGAATTAAGTGAATAAACTGTTTTTGAATAAAATTTAGTCCTATTTATTACAAATTAACTTGTTTAGGTATGTTTTCCAGAAAAAAGACATAAATTTAATGAATGTAATATAAATGGTGGTATTATATTTTTTCTAGTTATTAATTCTAAATCTTAAAATAATATCTTTATCAAAAAACATAACCTTTATTTTTAAAAATCCACTATTAATTTTTATTCTTATTTTAAAATATCCGTATAATCCTTAATGTAATTTTGACTTTTTAATAACTGAATAATTTTAGAGAACAACAATGACACGAAATCTTGATATTTTTACTAAACTTTTTAAGGTCCTAAAGAACTAAAGACATGCAAATGTGGTGCCTTTAATTTGCGAAAATGTTTTAATGCTTAACTTCTTTTTTAAAACACAAACCTAAGTTATGATTAAAATTACTTATATTTTTTGCTTAATTTAAGAACAGCTCTAACCATTATAGCAATAATCTTAAGTCTATATTTCTTAATAAAAACTTTCTTTGTAATTTTTAGATTACTAATAGGTTTTTGTTTTTAACCAATTTAATTAGAGATTGAATCAATTGTTTAGGTTCTAACTTTACTGTAATTAGTTTAAATTTAGCTTTTTTTTATACTATTTTCCTGAATATTTTATTTAGAAAATATAGTTCTCTTTCCTATGAGATCAGGTTCAGGATTTTAAAAATTATAATCTTTTGATTCAAATGCCTCAGTTGGCAAAGATGTTATTCTTTACCTAATTTGATTTTAAGTCTTTAATTCTGTGTCCAAAGTCTTTACTTTTAAAGATTATTTTAAGTTTGATATTCCTTCTTCTCTTTAAAAATCTTTATAAGTTTCAATCTATTTTTATACATTATTTTCCAATAATCTACTTATTTTCAATGAATTTTTCAATTTAAATGTTTAAGTATTTCGAGACCCATCCTATTTAGTTGTTTATTCATTTAAATTCTTAAATAATTTAAGTTAAATTGTGTCAGTTTTTTCTTATACTAAATTTAAAGGTATCAAGGGAATGTTGAGTCTTTGAGAGATAAGAAGATTTTTTTAATCTTCAGTCTTCTAATATTGTTTAGGAAATGGACAATTCAAGATATTAAATGACAAAAATTCGCTCTGCTTTGTCTTCATTGACGAATCAAATAATTTATTAAATTAAAACCCATTATATAAATAAAGTGAATTCAGAAGAAATGGTTGATTTATTTGACTATATTTTTTTTATTAAATCTTTTTACTAAATATAGATTTTGAATAAACATGTTTTGAGTTTTTTGATTAGTTCTAGATAAAAACAATTGTATTAATTTAAAAATATAATATAATTGAATATAGGATGTAAGTAAAGAGAATTTCTATTGAATTTGGAACATTTGATTAACTTATAGAGGGAAATGTTTCAGTGGCAGTTAGTTAATAAGAATTGGATTAGGAAACTTAATCTTTTTTTAGTAAGGATGATTTAAAGAGGAAATTTAAACCATTTTAAAAGGAAAGAAATTCAATAGGAAAATTAATAAAAAGAGCTAAAAGCAATGAGACTACATCTAGATTTTAATTTTTAAGAAGTTAAGAAGTAGTTGTTCATCCAACAACTAAAAAAAAAAATGAAAATAGCAATATGATTAACAAATGGAGTACAACAAATTTGTTAGGACTTAAAAAAAGAGATATTACTGCTCAAGATTAGGAGGTTTCTTTAAGATAACGTTTAAAATATTTTAGAGTAAATCTCTAAGCAAACTAAGGTTTTATAAAATAATTTAGAGAATATAAGAAATAATAAACTCCAGCAACAATTTAAAGTAGAGCATTTTTAGCACCAAAAAGAGAGTATTTTTATAAAGATGTAAGGAGAAGCTTAAAATAAATGATAGAGTCTCATTCCAGGACCAGGTGTGTATTCTGGTAGATTCGTATTGACAGATCCTGGTCAATCAATTGAATATAGCAAAAGTCCATAAACACCGAAACAAAAAATTCCTATTTGTTAGAAAGATTTCTATGATATATAATTATAAAAAAAGAATGAGAATACGCCAGACTTTTTGAGAACTATTAGTAGAGATAAGGCTTATTAAAGAAGTATATTTGCTCAGATTGAAATACAAAAGAAAGAATGCATGGTATTAGAAATTGATTAATGTTTTATACAAGAAAATTAAAAAAGAGTAACCAATTGATTAGAAAAAAATCTAGTAAGAAATTGAATATTTCCTTTCTCAATAATAAAAATATGGGAAAATAAGTAAATATATATTTCAGAATTTAGATTATCAAAGAATATTAGACAATAATTTAGATGTTAAAAAAATGACAAGGCCAGATACACTTGATTATACATGGAATAAAATGTTGTAAGAAAATATAATATTTTAGGGAACGTTATGGTTTTAAAAAGATGAAAGGAGGAAAAATTATCAAAGATAGAGTCTAAACATTGTAAAATGAGTCAGAATAATATTAATTTAATACTTGATACTTTTATTTAGCAAATATTATGAATAAAATCAGATAAACTCCTCGATCACGTAGACTTTCAGCATATTAAGAAAAAGATTATGTAGTCCCTAAACTCTTTTTGAGTGTTGATTTGTATTAAAAATAATAACATTCTGTCAGAATAGCTTCAAATTAAGTGATCAACAATCTTACATTCCTACGTAGAAATATTAATTATTAAACAACCACAAGAAGTATACAATCGGAGTTGGAATTCTAACCAACAGAAGAAAATAATAAGGCTTATGAAGTTAAAATAAAAATCAAATTCACAAAGCACAAATAAAAATTGGAAAAGTAATTTAAATAAGACTTTCATGAAGATTATAAAATTGTTAAGTTTCCTAATTCTGCTATCTAATAAATTAATGATGAAATAGAATTAAGCAGGAAATTACAAAAATTACTTTCAACAATTACAAAATGAATAAATTAACTTTACTTTATGTATTGGAAATCTAAAAATTATTAAATATATAATTAAAGACAATGGTATGTAAACCATGGATTCATTATATAATTATAATAAAGACATAAGAAATTCAATCTCTTACTGTAAATGATAATAATTTAGTTATTCTAAGTACCTATTATATCGTTTCAATAAAAATAACATAATGTAAGTCCTTAGATATATTTAATTACTATTACTTTCATTTTTGTTAAAGTTTCTTAGGTGGTTAATGAATGCATTTTCAATAGAACTTCTAAATTGCAATGAGTTTCAGTATCAGGTAAAAGAGCTTAATTACATTTTTAATGTGAATCTCTGGCTTAGATTATAGCGCATTTGTTATTCCACCACTTGATAGTTTTCCAATCTTTTTCCTAATTTTCTGCAAATTCCTATTTTAAATTAGATTATTAAAAACCTCATCAAATTCTGGATTTTCTTTAAGTTTCACAACTATTTATGGACCCGTATCACTATTGTTCCATCTACTTGATTCAATATAGAATCCTCTAATAGCTTCTGATAAATCATTTAATGCTAATTCTTCTGCAGCTTCATCTTTTTAAACAATATTAGCTGATTAAGCATCTTCACTAACTGGAATAAAATTAACACCACTTCTATATAATTCATAAAATAATGCTCCCACTAATAATTTTTTATATGCAAAGTGTTAGAATTCCTAAAAATGAAACTATATTTAATACTGGTTCTTTTTTCAATAATTGAATATATCCTGGGCCAATTTCAAATTTAAATAAATCTCTAGCTCCTTAAATATCTAAAATAGCTTTTTCATTTCCAACACATCTGAGCTTAAAACTTCTATAAGGATAATCTAGACATCTTTCTTATAATAATCCAATTGGACCTAATTTTGGAACACTTGCCACAATATTGGTTCCTTTATCTAATTTAGCATCTTCAACACCATCTGTAATCCATTATTCACTTACTCTATCAAAAAATGCTACTCTCCATACTTTTTAGTTTTCTTTATTTGGAATCCAAATATAAGAAGGAAGTTAATAAGAAACCTAATATTAACTAAATTGAATTTTACTTTAAAAGTAGCATTTAATTCAAAAGCTAATCTTTTAACTGTTTCTTTTAATTCATAATTTTATTTCAATGTCCAACTATTAACTTTTTTAGGTGGAGGTAGCATTTATAAATATTCTATATCTAAAACACCCCCAACAATTCTATATTTGCTATAAACATCTGGAGAATAATTATCAAATGAAGTCCATAATATTTTTTAAAGAAACACAGAGATAGACCTTGGTACATCTACTGCTAATTAAAGTTCAGGATATTCATTTGGTTTATGTCTATAACCAGATGGTTTATTTGATGGATATATAAATATACCATATTTAAAGTCTTCAGTTGGAGTAAAAGTCTTGATTACTTCTTATTTAGTTTTATCATCTAATTTAAATGTACCTTTTGCTCCTTCATTTGCTTTCTTTGTTAATTCTGCAAATCTTTCCTTTAAATATATATTTTATCTTACATCAATAAATAGTTCAGCATTTAATACCATCTAAGTATTGATCTCTTCAAGCTTTTTTATCATTATTTCTCTAATCTAAGATATATATATTTTATTTCTAGCAACAGTATCATTTTGAATTATTTATTATTATTATTATTGTTGCAATTATTGTTAATTTAATTATAATTTCCTTTCAGCTTTTAATTGAGTCAAAAATCTATGAATATCTCTTTCTATATTTTCTGCTTATTATAATTTTAAAAGTTCCTCTTAAACTTTNTTTAATACTGGTTCTTTTTTCAATAATTGAATATATCCTGGGCCAATTTCAAATTTAAATAAATCTCTAGCTCCTTAAATATCTAAAATAGCTTTTTCATTTCCAACACATCTGAGCTTAAAACTTCTATAAGGATAATCTAGACATCTTTCTTATAATAATCCAATTGGACCTAATTTTGGAACACTTGCCACAATATTGGTTCCTTTATCTAATTTAGCATCTTCAACACCATCTGTAATCCATTATTCACTTACTCTATCAAAAAATGCTACTCTCCATACTTTTTAGTTTTCTTTATTTGGAATCCAAATATAAGAAGGAAGTTAATAAGAAACCTAATATTAACTAAATTGAATTTTACTTTAAAAGTAGCATTTAATTCAAAAGCTAATCTTTTAACTGTTTCTTTTAATTCATAATTTTATTTCAATGTCCAACTATTAACTTTTTTAGGTGGAGGTAGCATTTATAAATATTCTATATCTAAAACACCCCCAACAATTCTATATTTGCTATAAACATCTGGAGAATAATTATCAAATGAAGTCCATAATATTTTTTAAAGAAACACAGAGATAGACCTTGGTACATCTACTGCTAATTAAAGTTCAGGATATTCATTTGGTTTATGTCTATAACCAGATGGTTTATTTGATGGATATATAAATATACCATATTTAAAGTCTTCAGTTGGAGTAAAAGTCTTGATTACTTCTTATTTAGTTTTATCATCTAATTTAAATGTACCTTTTGCTCCTTCATTTGCTTTCTTTGTTAATTCTGCAAATCTTTCCTTTAAATATATATTTTATCTTACATCAATAAATAGTTCAGCATTTAATACCATCTAAGTATTGATCTCTTCAAGCTTTTTTATCATTATTTCTCTAATCTAAGATATATATATTTTATTTCTAGCAACAGTATCATTTTGAATTATTTATTATTATTATTATTGTTGCAATTATTGTTAATTTAATTATAATTTCCTTTCAGCTTTTAATTGAGTCAAAAATCTATGAATATCTCTTTCTATATTTTCTGCTTATTATAATTTTAAAAGTTCCTCTTAAACTTTTAATTCATTTACTGTCTTCTATTCTCTCATCATTGTTATGAAGGTTGTTAATTAAGCTTCCTATGATATGTCAGGCTTTATTGAACATAATAAAAATTTATCCCAATCATCATTTGCTCTTGCTACCTAAAATTTTTTTATATTTTCATTATTACTTTCTTTGCATTATCTAAATTTTCCTTAAAAACACTTCTTTAAACTTCATTCTCTATCTCTTCTTCTTAAAGTCTAGCCTTCTCTTCTGCAGCCAATCTTTCTTCTTCTAATTTCCGTAACCGTTCCTCTTCTAATCTTTACTTCTCTTCAGCTTCCTTACGAATTCTCTCTTATTCTTCTCTTTCTTTCTTTTCTTGTTCAGCTTTTTCCTTTAATTCCTTTTTTGTCAACTTTTTTGGAGGTGGAGCTTTTGGAGGCATATAAATTGTTTATTAAATAAATTTGTTATCAAAACTATATTTAATAATTTATGATTTCCATTTACTTATTATTATGAATTCTTATAAACTATTACATTTCTGATTTCCTTCATATTTATCTACTTTTGCCTATCAAAAATTTAGTGATTTAACTCATAATAATAGATTAATATTTTTAGGTTTCTGAAATCATTTTAGTTTATTCGATTAGTCTTTAGACAAACATTATTTAAATAAAAATGATAAATTCCTACGGCTTCTTTCAATCCTTTCATTTGTTTTAATTTTATAAATTATAAATTTCACATTCCTTAATACATCATATTGAAATATTTTAATAAATGAAAATTAAAACTAATAAAAATTAAAAGATTATGCAAAAAAATTAGTTTACTATTATATATTCATATTAATTATTATTTAATAGAAAAATAATTCACTCTTTTAAGAAAATGAATTAATTATAGATTATAAACAAGATTTTTGAAACAGGTGAATCAATTTATTAATATTTTATCAAGATTCCAGACGGATAAATTTAAGTTTAATTAAATCTTTTTTAAAAAATAAAATAGAGAGCTAAAGAACAAAAATAATATTCTAAAAATATACGGGGTTAAATAATGCAATCTGAAGCTGATTTATATTTTGAAATAACTTTTTTACAAATAAAAATTTAAAACCAACACAATTTTTCAATAATTTTAACTTTATTTTTATGAATTTTATTTGAAATAATTCCATATTTATTGTTTTATATTGCTAAATTAATTTAGCTTCTTTAATTTTTTTGCTTAATTATTATATTTGTTGTTATTTGGACATGTTTTTCTCATTTAAAATGAAAATAATAAACTGTATTAGATATTTAATACTGGAAATATAAGTAAGAATATTAATTTAGACTAGAAATAGTAAATTTTTATTATTTGAGCTAAGTACTACCTAAAATTCTTGAGTATTAATGTAAAAAAATAATTTTTCAACATTTAATTAGTTTTGTATAAATAATAATATCATTTATGTATTAACTTGTCACCATATAATACAGCATTATTTTGATTATTTGTTAAGCTTTTTTTATTTTTGATATTTTATTTCTAATATTTTCAAAGATTCTTCTTCATTTTTTGTAAATTCCAATTTCTTATGACAATTTGAAATAGGAGTAGCAAATTCAGCTTTTTCCATGAGGGGAGACTTGCTCTTTGGTGATTTAACACTTTATTGTATTCCAAGAGGAGACTTTGTTCTTTCCCTTGGAGTACAAACTGGAGCAATCACCTATAAAAATTGAACATGTTCATCTATTGTAACTTCATATTTAGAGCCAAAAACAATTTATCTACCTTTTCTATCATAGCGCCGAAACACTTTATAGTTCAGTAAATAAAATACTTTATTCTTCACTAAATAGTTCCTTTTTTAAAGCACTCTTTATGGTATTTTATTTAATTTTAGTATCACATTCTTAATTCATCATTTACAAATTTGTTTCAATTAAATAATAAATTGCCATATACGAGAAGCTAAATTTAAATAAAAAAGAAGCTTAGGGTATTATCAGGATTAAATAAAATTATAATATATAATTCAGACGGATGGACCCTTCGCTGAGACTTCATCAGCCATTTTTTTTAATTAAGGATTTCCTTTAAAGTATTTTGAATTAAGTACTTAGATATCTACCGATAACAGGGAATTCAGTGGCGCTATCATATAAGAATGGTTATAAATGATTTAAACATATGGAAAAGACTGTAAATTTATAATGGGAATCCAATAATGGCGAGTTTTAATGCAATTGTAACAAAAAAGCCTAGAAAGAAAAAAATGCTTCCTTTTAGTTTGCCTTTAAATATTTGTAAAGATTGCCTTTTTTCAAGAAGAAGCGTAAAGTGCTTTTAATTCCAATAAGTAAGCACCATCCAATAAAAAATGATAAATTGACCATGATTATAAGCACACGATCTAGGAAAAACATAATACCTAATATGAAGAATAGAAGACTAACAGTAAGAAATCCTATTCCAATTCCTAAATTTCTAATAATGAGTTTAAAGACATACTCTTAGAGTTATCCAAAATATACATTGTAAATAATTATATAAAATTAATACATGTAAATTAAGGATACTAAAATGAATAAGTCATAGAAGAGAAAAATTATATAAAATGTAGATATAAGTATAAAATAAGAAATAGTAAGAAGATCTAATAAATAATATATTAGTTAAATATTATTTATTTAATCACAAAGCTGTTTAGTGACTTTCACTATGTTTTTGATGCTTATGGTTTTTGTGATGTTTTTCTTCTGATTGATGATATTTGTATTCATCATGTTTTTTTTAATGTTTGAAATTCAAAACACTCATATCAGTGGCACTATGTTTACATAAACCTAAGTATCCCTTTTTGCGTCCATGTAAGCATTCTTATCCAGCAACTCCAGCCTTATAGACATCACCATGCAGATTAGGTTTCTTGAGATATAAATATAAAATACTCTATTATAAACGCAGACAACAATTTCATCACTCATACCATTTTTCCTACTAACTTATGATCTTCCACAACCAAAGAATTGTGCTTAGGCTGTTTCAATTTATCTTGCTTGATCTTCATGCTAAGCCCATTTCTTAAATACTTTCTTAGCAGTCCAATCAGCTCCACCATTTTCAACATCACCTAAATATGTAACAAAACCATAATGAGGAGGAAATGAACAATCAATTTTAAAATTAGCTGGGCATTTATCTGTACAATCTTATGCAAATTTAGCCAACTGATGATCCCATTTCATATAATTCATGTTTGAAGCTGTTTAAAATTTACCTTACCAATTTTTTTATTTTCCTGTGGCAACATCATTTCTATGTTCATTGTGTAATTCCAATAATTCATCTTCCTTTTTTTTAGACATTCCGCGTTCTTTTACTCTTTCCTTATTATCAGTATCACATCCTACTTTAGCATAAGCAAATGCTAAAAATACAATTAAAACGAATTTCATTTTTATTATTATTATTATTTTTAAGTGAATTAACATAAATGGATAAATAGGTGTTGAAATTATATAAATCGATTCTTAGAGCTGGAAATCGATTCAGAGACTATAATTTTAGAGAATATGTCATTAGAAGAGCAAAACAAGATTTTAGAGAATTACAGAATAATCCTGATCTGAAAAATAAAGTGATTGATAAATACACAAAAGAATTAGAGGTTATTCAAAGACAAACGATAGTTTAAAATCTTTACTATCAGACTAATCATATTATAGAGTAGAAATAATGCAATAATTGAGAATTTAAATATATAAATATAATTAAAAATGGCATCTTATTCAGGAGAATAATAAGTAAAAACTGTAATCAATACAGATGATATTAAAGATATTGTTGCAATCTTAAACAATAAATTTAATGAGAATTATAGTCTGGTATCGTTTGATGAACAGAATTAGTAATGATTATTGAATAATATTTTTAGATTTGAATTCTTGGAACTGTTAAATAAAATATTTACTCATTTAGACTCTAGATGGACAATCGATGTGAAAGTAGATAATCAAGAAACTATTATCTATAAAATAACAGAGTATTTACGAATTCTAAATTACCCAGGTTAATTTGATGATAAATGGTCTTAATCAGTCTTAATCGCTGATAAGAAAGTTATTTATCCAATTTTTCATTATTTATTAACAAGATATCCAGATTTAGAAAAAAGAGCTTATCTAGCTAAGTATTTGGTACCAGTATTTGTCCCTGATGAATTTTAAATGGATAATGATATTAAGACTTGTGTAGATTAGATAAAAGATTTATAAGCTTAATTCTAAGTGCATCATTAATCACTAGAGTAAGTTTAATCACAGTCAATGAATCCAGATGAATTGAAGAAAGATATTACTTAATTTGAATAAGAGAGAGAATAATTATTAAATAAGATTAGTAATTTTAAGAGCAAAGTTTCTTCTAAGCCAAATTTTAATGAATTACTAGAAGTTACAAATATGTTAAGAAGAGAATAAGAAGAAGAAGCTAGATTATAGGATAAATTGAGATAATAAAGAATGCAACTTGATTAAACAGATTAAATATTATTGTAAGCTTAATAAAGATTAATTGATGCCTAAAAATCATTAGCTCCTGATAATTCACCAGAATAAATGTTAATGGCTTTGAGGAATGAAGTTAAAAGAAATAGAGAAATCAGTAAAGATAGATTAGGATTTGATTTAAAAGAAAGAAGAAAAAAGTTAGAATAAATTGAGAGATTACTTGCAGAACCTCCAATTACATTGAATGAATTAAATAATTTAGAAAATACTTTAATGGCTTTAAGAAGAGCTGTTAATCAAATGGAGGATAAATTAAAAAGAGAAGCAAAACCTGAGGATGATAAATTAACCATATATAAATAATAAGCATAATTAGTTGCTAAGAAGAAAGAAAGGGCTGTTGATGATATTAAAAAAGTTGAAGAAGAATAACAATTGATTGAAAAAGAAGTCTTTAAGAAAGAAGAATAAATTGCAAAAGAAAGAGGACCCAATTATAAAACTAAAGGAGAATTTAAAGAATATGCTAATTAATTAAAAGATAAAAAATTTTAATATTAAAAATTGAAAGATGAATTAAAAGGATTGTAAGCAGAAAGAGCCATTTTAGAAAGAACTGAGGCGATATTAAGGAAATAAAAAAATGAATTACTTAAATAATAGCAAGAATTAGAAAAAACACATGGAGTTGTTGGTTATAGTAAAAAAAAAGAGGGCTTAGAAAAATTATCAGAAGAAAATTAATAAGCTAATTTAAAAAAGGGACAAACATTGGAGGAAATTTCGAAAATTGTAAATGAAATTTAAGCTTAAATTCAACTCAAACGACCTTTAATCTAAGAATAATTAGCAGAAATCAAGACCGTTAGATAATAATACTCTGTAAATATATTAATCTGATAGTCTTAGGAATTAGAATAAGAGCATAAATAAAAGAAACAAGAATTTGATAGAATTATGTTAGGAGTTGAAAGTGATTAAAGTTCATTAGTTAATGAAGTTAAAAAACTCAGAGAGGAAGTATATGGGTTAGATAGGAAAATTAGACTTAATAAATATAATTCTGAAATTTTGGAAATCAAAATCTAAAGATTAAATGATGAAGTACATTTTATTTAAACTATTCTAGGGAGAATATAGTAAGGGAAGCAAATAATTATCATCTTAATCTAAATCTAATGCTGAAATGCTTCAATAAAGAATTTTAAAATTAGAGGAAAATATTAAAAATCTTAAATAGCAAAGAGAACAAGTGAAAGAAAATTATGAACCTTCATTAAGACAAGTATTTATGCATTTCAATTTTAGATGAATTATTTTAGTGATTTAAAGAAGATCTTGAATGTTAAGTTTTAATAATTATCTAACGAGCAAGGATAAAAATAATAGATGAAAGCAGGAGCAAATAGATTAGTTATTGGTTGATTAATTATCAAATATTAAAATATTTAGGTTTTATCATTCTTGTTATGGCATAATAATGTCTGAATAATAAACTTTATTTGGATATTTAGTGCACATTTCTTTTACATCCATTCTCAATTTAACATCGGTATGTCCACCTCCAAACCATATATATTCTAAGTTTAGTATTTTATCAGAAATTAATAGAGGCATGTTTTATACCATATTAAAAGGTGTTATTGCATTAAATTAATACCCACTTAATTTATATGACATCTAATATAATGAACAAATCTTTTACTTCATCGGATGTTAATCTGAAATGCAATTTATTTCTAGAAATTTATTTATCAGGGTATTTCTAATTCTATAACTATTTAAAATATTTATTTATCTAATAATATTCTTAAATATCAAACCTTTTCCCCTTATAATTTTGTGATGTATTGGACTACAACACATATGTATTTAGGGTTGACTTCAGGATCTGGATATGAATCATCGTATTTAGTATTCTCCATTACGATAGATTTGCATAAGTAATCTACAGATGGAGCCTACAATAAATCTCTTCTTTCCTCGTAATTCAAATCAAAATAATTAGGCTAAGCTTAGAAAAGCTAGAATTTCTTATAACCATTCAAATCAAGATAAGTTGTCATTTTTAAAATGCATTCTGCTATTTCATTTTAAATCATTTATTCACAAAATATTTGATAAAACAAATTTATTATCAATAACAATATCACTATATTATTGTAAATTATTAATATCAATATAAAAATAAAATGATTCAAAAAATATACAAATGCGAATCTTAACCTCCTTAAATCAATCAATTTTATAGTTTCATTTTTTTAAGTGGAGGACTTGAATCTCAAGCAAGTACCATTCTTAAATTGTAAATCCTCAATTACTAACTATTCTTCTCTATAATCAACCGAAACATGCAGACTATTTAAATGCGTATATATACTATGTCATTTGCAAAAATTCAAATTTTCCTTTCAAGAAGAAGAAGAAATAAAATCTTAAGCGAGTTCAAGAGTTTAATTTATTCATCTAATAGCATCATTCCTTCCTTTAACAAGCTTTGGTTTGATTGCTTAATTAAACATAAGTTTCAGGAAATCCTAAATCTTATTTAATAAAGAATCCATTAATTTCTTTCTAAAAATTTTGCAATGATGTCTACTATCATAATTTTCTTTTTAGTATTAATTATTAGGGTTTCTTCATTATTTTTTCCCTTCTTTCTTAAATGAAATCTTTAATTGCCATTATTTACATTAAATAGATAAACCATCTTGATTTTTTTTACTTGGTATATTTTTATGTAGTAATATGTGAAATGAAAAAAATATTAATTAGAATGGATGAAGATAAATCTAAATACAAGTGTAGTTCAACGAACTCTATTCATATAATGAATATTGGAACAGAATAATTGTAAAATTAGGGTTTCTAGAATACAGTTTATATAGATAATAATTATTTTATAAAATGATTTTTACGAAATAAATTCGTATACTTTTTGTTGCTCCTCTTATAATTTGCACATTGCTAATATTCTTTATGGCATTCTATTCCTGGTTTGTAGAGTTATATTAAGAAAATGAAACGATTGGTGATTTGGAAATATCAACAAACTCAACAAATTCAATTCCTACATATTATAGTAGATTCTATTTACATTAGACTAGCGCTGCTTTGCAATAGTGCTTTGCTCAACTAAACTGATTCCAATATCTAGATATATAGTGATGGTGCATACTATTACATCCTTTAGAATGATATGTTGATTTGCACAATGGCATATCATTAATCAGAATACCTTGAAGCTATAAATAACAATCTAGGATATTCTATATAATAAATTAAGAGTCACACTTAGATGAGTCAATCATTGAAGTAGGATAATAGTAAAATATTATAAATAACATTGTCTTTGGCAGCAATAGAATTTGTTTTAATAATCGCTGCCATAAATTATTATGCAAAATCTATAGCTCTGATAGTAGCTTCTCCAATAGATGAATTAACGCATTCTTTGAGAAATATAGATCAAAATAATATTGATGAATATTTTTCAGAAAGATTATAAGGAGAATCTTCTAAATTGATCCCTGATGAAATGATTTTGCTGTTAAGAAGCGTTTATGACTTTATTGGAATAGTCAAAATTGCAAATGAAGCATTTATTTAGGGTAATGATGGTTAAGCAATCATTGGATATGCAGTTGCTAATTAATTTTATTTAGAAAATGGAAATAAACTTGGAGCAGGTGTAATTTAAAATAATATGGGCGTTATTCATATAAGAAATAGAAGATTTCAAGAAGCCATATTTTGTTTTAAAGAAGCTATAATATGCATAGAAAATGAATGGGAAAAATACAAACACAAATATTAGAGTGTCGGAATTAATGAAGATGAATTAATTATTGATTAAGAATATTAAAATTTAAGTAAAATTGTTTTCAATAGATGTTTTAACCTTTGTGAAGCTTTGGGTGAATTCTTACTATCTGAGATTTTAGAACTTTAGGAATTACTATTTTCTCATAAAACCTAACGCAAATCATTGTTTAATATGGAAAATATGATGTATGCCTAGCTTGAGAATACTCATGCCAATAGGCAAAAGGCTGTTTCAGTATTTAATTAAGACTAAGATGAAGAGCAGGAATCAATTGAAAAGATTATCAAAATAAAAGGAAATGCTAAAAGAAATGTGTAAGACCTTTAAAAATTAAATGACATTATGTACACTATCCGTTCAAAATTTTTGGGCACTCATGATTTTCACAATAACATCATTATTCACAACATCGAAACTGTTACTGAAAAGGATATAGAGTTCCTTATTCATTAACTGTGGAGAGACACCATTAGAACATACGAGTATTGCTAAGAAATAATGTAGTTTCACTTGAATAAGACTAAATAGAAGTAATTATATATTACTCTAAAATTAATTATTGGCAATTTATAAAATGGGCATATGAGTAAAAGTGAAGATTTAATATAAATTGCTTATGAACAATACAATAAAATCTAGCAAGAAAACGATGATCGAGAATTAGGGCATATTTCGCTTCTTGAATAGAAACTTTACCTATCTCATGGACTTATACTTTATAAAAAAAATATTAAGTTAGAGGCAGCCTAATTGCTTGTAAAATCTTTATGTGTATGTGGTACATTTAGTAGTAGAGATAGATTATAAGCTTTAGTTATGTTGAAAGCAATATTTTAATACTACAATTAACCACTTGCCAAAATTAATGATTTTTTAATTTAGTATCAGCCTATTGCGAAAGACTGGATATTCGTTTTAGATGGAAGCAAAAATATGAAGCAGGACTTAGCTATTGTAAGAGCTACTCGAACTCTTCATAAAATTATTAAGAATATTCATTCTCCGAACGATAGAGTTAGTTTTGGAATTCTAAGGGAGAACTACTATGAATTTACTCCTCTAATTGGTAAAATTGATAATGCTGCCTACATCGATAAAACATTCTAATTGATTCCAAAACCAAAAGGAATTTGTAATACTAACCTATTAAGCTCAATTGCTGATAAGTATTAAGCTCATCCTAATTTAATTACTATAGGAAATAATAGATATTTAACCAAAGACGGAGTTGCTTTTATGAGATACAAAAAAGTCATAATATTCGCTTGCTGGAAGTGCGAAAATGTTCCAATCAAACCCCAAGATGAGTTTATAATTATTCATTTTGGGCGAGATTTTGAGAAGCTATAAGAAGAGTAAAGAAATGTATTGTTAGAAGAGGATTGGAATAAAGTCTTGAACAAATATCAGTAATTGTTAACAGAGTAGAACGATAGCAATTACTTCTTAGAATAAATATTATGATTTGTACGTATATATAAATAATTCAGAATTATTTCATATAATAAATTATTTTATAATTATGTCACTTATAGCAAATGATGGTTCAAACGATTGCAATATTTAGACCTTAAATTAATTAATTATGGAGTTTTACTTAGCACCCTTTAATTAAAAGCACTTGTGTAGTATTCAATTAAGAATGATTAAAATGTTTGAAAAAAAAATCGCCACAGATTAAGAATCTGATATAATAGAAATATTTAAAACTTGTTTGAGAGATTATGCTTCTGTAATCTGAAAATGCATTATTTAATAGGAATTGCTTTAAGAGTTTTCTGAGGAGAATTTCAAGTAAGTTGAACATCTGTGGGAAATTCATTATCGTCTTTAAGCTACAAGTCTCAAAACAGAAAAATTGTATGAGATGTATTACGGTTTATTTAAATTTAAAACGCCATGTCCCTATGGTACATCCATTATTTAATTCTTAAGATTTTTTTGAAATCCATTTTGATATTGCTAAAAAAAATAGACCTAATTTACAAGATTCAAGGAAGGTGCATCAATAATATACAAAAGAACGCATGAAGTAAAAAGTCACATTAGTAAAGATTTTGTAAGATTAAAGTTTATCTTAAAAACCTCAACAGAATAGTGAATGTTATTAATTGAAATCTCTTTCAAAAAATATACAAACTATTCCAAAGTAAAAGGATAAACCTCCCACACAGACTACTATTAATGTGAGGAATGAGTTTAAAGAGTTTGAAGATCGCTTATCTAAATTAGAAAACAGTTCAAATAAACTAGAACCAACAGTTTCAGCTTCATGGACTTAAAAGTATAGGAATTTATTCTTGAAAAGGAAAAAGTGATTTATTTAAAATAAGAAATAAAGAAAAACATAATCACCTAAAGAGCTTTTAATTTCTGAATAGAAAAGAGACTTCCGTATTAATATTTGTTGTTTCAATACATCCTCATAATATACATAGTTTTAAACTATTGTTTTTTAATGCAGTATTATAAAAACATTTAATAATATAATATATATAATAATGTCATATTTATCGATATGCAAGATTGAATAATTGGTCGAAAAGTATATCATAGTCCAATCATCCTTAGAAGATCTGATGTAGAACTGTCATCGAATTATTTCTGATCATCACATATAAATGTTGATGCCCCTTAATGCTTATTATGAATCTAAATCACTAATTTAGGAATTGATGAAATCTTTTTACCTATTGTTGCCAGAACAAGACTTCATTATTGAAGATACAGAACCTAAAATTCCTATTAAAGATAATCTCGTGAGTGCTATTAAAGTTGAAGTTCTTCCTGAGCCTTAGTAATAATTTATAACATCTGTTACAAAATTTAGAAATCTTTCACATAAATCCTCTATGAAATCTTCAGTAAAATCATTGAGGAAATCCTCAATTAATAAATAAGATCGTTAACAGCAAACCTAATAAGGTTCACTTCATATTACATTTTCACCGATTCCCCTATAAAATGAATAATAAGATGAGGATGAGGATAGATTTTATAGAGGTGTATATGAAATGAAAAAAAAATAATAAGAACAAATAAGAATGTAATATAAAATTTATACTTTTTGTTAGCAATAAGCATGTATCTGAGTAACAGAAAGTGTAACTTTAGTAATAATTGCTAGAATTAAAAAGAAAATGCAAAAATGGAGTTTTGACATTTGATAATGATGGATCTGTAATTTTGACAAAGTAAAAAGTATTAAGTAATGAACTTCAAGTTCATCCAGACACCAGAATATTTGCTTTGAATTTAAAAAATCAAGGCTAAAAATTAAATCTCCAAACCTAAGTAACAAATATAGTTAATTCTTCAATTCAAAGAAAATAACGGTTGGCAAAAATAGTCAATAATACCAAAAGTGAAATTCGTATGGAGACAGAGCCTATAAGGGTTAGTAAATCTTTTAACAGAATAAATAATTAAGATTTGAGGTCTAAGTCTTTTTTAAAATAATTACTTAATGATCAAAGTTTGAAATTGACAAAAAAAGATTTCTCTTAACTGGTTGGTTTGTAAAATAATATTGGAGATGTCTTACATTAAAAAATATTAAGATTGACTTAAGTAGAATAAAAAAGAGCCCAATATATTTAATAATAGCATTCAAGAAGTATCACCCCTTTAATAAATGAAGAATATAAAGAAGATGAAAAACCAATCATTTTAAGTAACAAAAAATAAGGGAAAATAAAACTAAATGATTTAAGACTTATGGATTCAATATCAAATGATACTCCAGAAATTTATTTTCAAAATATTAATGAAAGTTACAATACAAAACAAAATCACAATTCAAAATAAATTAAATAAGATCTTCCTTTTCTCTAAATGAAAATAAAATAATCAAAATATGCAATTTTAAAGGAAAAAACATTATAAAAAATAAATCCAAGTGTTAAGCTTCGGTCCTACACAACTCACGAATGAAATTTTTTATTGTTTATTATATTTCTTATTTATGGAGTAGTTAAATAAATTTTGGAATTACATTTTTTTCAATATTTAACATTAATAAAAATAAGTTAAATATAAATAATGTATCACTACTTAGTGATTGCAGGAGGAATGATTCTTGGTTTAATAGTATTGGCTTTGCTGAATAAAAATGAATCTCAAAAAAAAAAACTAAAGGTTGAAGATGAAGATGAAAAAAGTTAATTGAAAGAATAAATTCCTTAAAAAAGAGTTGAATAAAATAATTTTGATATTAAAGAGTAAAGTGAAGATGTGGAAGCTTTGAGGTAAAGGAAAATAGAGGCAAACGAAAGAAAGAATTAGATATTTAAGAATCTTTCATAGGAAGATAGAGAATTAGTTGAAGAGTATTTTAAGAAATAAGCAAAACAATATTTATCTGGAGAGATTGATCCTGCTGATAGAAGAGCAGCTAAATTAATTAAAATTATCAAATTCTCTCTATACGGCTTATTTGGATTGGCTGTGTACATTTGTTTAACCATAGCTTTTAATACAACTTCCCCTTTTATGATTCTTGAAAACATAAAACATTTAATTAGAACATTTTTATCGCAATTATTTGGAAAACATTGATTATCATTTTTATGTGTAAAATATTTGATTTTAGTATTAAATTATAGACTTGATATTTTTCAATTATTTATGGTATTTATTGAAACTTATTTTGATGAAATTTTTTAAAATCATTATATTTGGTCTCTATAATAATCAATCTTCAAAATATTTTAGATTTATTTCTGTGATGTTTAATTTTTCCAGATAAAAAATTCTTTTTATTGCTCAAAATCATAATCAATAGAAATACTATTCTTAATACGATTTGGATTCAGAATTAATTATTATATTTTTTTTTTATTTATATACTTATAAATTTATATTATATAAATATACAATGTTTACTGAAATCTTGGTTTAGAGATTATGGTGGGTTCTTGTGAATTAATTTTAATTTTAAAGAGTTTGATTGGTAATTGCAGTAGATCAAAAATTATGAATAAACAAGAGAGATTATTAATTGACTAATATAAATATAGTGTTAAACGAATCTAATTTTTTATTGCTAAATTTAAATAATGGAATAAAAATCATCTGCTTTTCATATTTACAAATAAACTCTTATTCGACGTAATACGGTACCTATATCTTAAGTGTATAGCTATGAAGTTAAAGATGTAAATATTTTAGCAATCTATAAATTTAGAAAATTGGGTAAGGAGCTTATGGAAGTGTTTTCAAAGCAATTCATAAGGTTTCAAAATAAGTGAGAGCTGTAAAAGTGATCAACAAATTAAACATTAAATATAAGGAAAGGCTATTAAGCGAGATAACAATAATGGAGCTATTAGTATGAAAATAAAATTAGCAATTTAAGGATCACCCAAATATACTGAGAGTTTTCGAAACATTTGAAGATAATGAGAATTTATATATGGTTTTGGAGTAATAATAGAATTTAAGCTAGAATCTGTTAAGGTGGTGATGTTTTTGATAAGGTGTTAGAAAAAGGAAATTTATCAATCGATGAAGCATTTAAAGTTTACATTCAATACATGAGAGCAGTTAACTACTATCAAAGTTTCAAAATAGTTCACAGGTATATTTAATTAAGATAGAAGGGATTTGAAACCAGAAAACTTTTTGTTTTAAAAAAAAGATGATTTGAACACTTTGATTGTCATTGATTTTGGAATTGCCAAGAGAGGAGTTGATAAATTAAAAACTAAAAGTGGCACAGTATTTCATTTATTAATATTTTAGGCCTATTATGTTGCTCCTGAAGTTTTAGAAGGTTCTTATGATTCAAAATGCGATATCTGGTCTTCAGGTGTTATTTTATATGTTATTTTATGTGGTTATCCTCCTTTTTATGGAGAGAATGAAAAGGAAATATTGACTGAAATCAGAAATGCTCAATTATAATTCGAAGGTTGATATTTGATAATTATAATTTAGGTGATGAATGGTAATAAATACCACAAGAAATTAAAGATTTTATCAAACTTTAAATATGTCCTGCAGCTTAAAGATCGGCATCAAAAGATTTATTATCAAATAAATTGGTCGATAAATTCAATCAGAAATTTTAAATTGATTCAAAATTAATTTCTATGATGACAATCACATAATGGGTTAAGTTTCATCCATTAAAAAGATTAGGTTTATATTATTTAGCAACCCAAATCAATTCATCAGATCTTAAGTAATAAAAAATGGCCTTTTTCCTTATTAACACATCTCAATCTGGTTTAATAACATAAGCAGAACTAGCATCCTATTTAAAGGTAAATAAATAGGACATTTAAAAAGTATGGCCATATTTAGATTGCAATAATAACGGTTATTTGGATTACTTTGAATTTATTGCAATTACTTTAACACCCTAAGATTATAATAATCATTTACAATTGATTTTTGATTTTCTAAGTTAATAAGAGAAAATTATCACTCAAAAAACAATTAAATCAATTTTTGATCAAAATGCTAATTTAGACTAAAAATGGGTCTCAATTTCAGAAACCAAAAGTAATCATCAAAACACCCATGATCATCAAGTCAATGTTAAAAATATTATAGAAAAAGATGTTGATTTTGCAGGCTTTAAAGCGTTAATGGCGTGAAGTATATTATAAAATATATGTATAATCTTTATCTTGTCCATAAAATTACTCTAATAATATACATATCATCTTATAATTTATTTTTTTTGATGTTATTATAGATAGATCTATTGTTGATTATTTTATTGTGAATTACTCAATTTAATAAATATTATTTCAATATTTATAAAATTAAAGTTATCAGACATTATTTTTATTTAAAATCAATAAAAATTTAAAACATTTCTAAAATTAAGAAAACTTGTGTTCGTTAGTGAATTATAGATATATTTCATGATGAAGTATCTGAAACAACAATTTTGAAGAGAACTTTTAATGATTCTCTTATCTTCTGAAATATTTAAAAAGTTAAATTAAGGTAAAATTTATGAATTAATCATTGAAAAGAAGTTAAACTTAGCGTTAATAATTAGTTTTATAATATTTTAAAGCAGATTTAATTCAATGAGAGTTTTTAGCAGCCTAATATTTTAACGTTCAAAGTATAAGTTTCTTGTTAATAATCAAAAGATTTAAATATGTTATCAAGCTGATTGATTCGACATATTTTAATCAGTTGCAATTTAGAAATAATCTGTTGATAAAAATGACGGTATAGATTTAAATATTATCCTAATTACTTTAGATATTATACAATGAAGTATATAAAGATTGCAAAGGTTGAAAATAAGATATTAATGATAATATTTTCTTTTTCTAATAAATTTAAATTCAATATATTATGTCAATTTGTGATTCAAATACGCAATAAGGATTTCTAATCTAATATACAATATATATTAAGATTCTTTGATTTAGAAAAATTAAAATGAGCAAAACAGGCCTGATTATTGATGAGCATTAGGAATTATTATCTGATACTTCTAATAGAAAAGTTTCTACAAGAAAAAACAGACCAATTTACACTTAAACAATTAGTGTAAAACGATACCATAAAATACCTCTTAGAACTTAGTAAATGCTTTTCGAGTAGGTTTTCAAAAACGGGAAAAAGATAAAACAAGTAATTATTTATTTAAACATAAGGCAGCTAAGGAATTGAGAATGAATTACTCAAGTGCTAAGTCATTAATCCATTACTATAAAACTGAAAAGAGGCCTGTACCTGATTAAGTGAAAAAGTTAATAGATAAGAAGAAATAAGCATCCTTTTGCTCTATATTGTAAAAAAATGGACGTGATCTCACTCTTTTAGTAGAAATAAAACTTAATCATGAAATAGTTGCCTCTTACAACTACTTTGAAAAACTTCACAATGAAGTTAAAGAAGAAACAATATGATATTAATATTATAATTCTTAACCGTAATTTAGAGTTTTAGTTCTTCTTAACGCCAACTTCCATTTAATTTTTATGTAAAACATTTTAATTAAGTTGTTTATCAAATAATAATATTGATGAAATATAAATAAAATGACCCAAAAGGGTTGCGATACTCAATGCAACTATTAAAAATCTCTAATAGTTAATTCTTAATTGTTTTTGATCAAAAATTTTCGAATTTTTTTCTTTAATTGAGTGATACCATTCATAAAATATAAAATAATGTACTAGAAATTAATAAATATAATTAAATAATTAATAAAAATGGTTTTGAGTCATAAACTATTAATCTGCATTATAAAATTAATGATAGGCAGTCTGTTCTGTAAAATTATTGAAATAAATACAATTATTATTGAAAAAGTATGGAAAGTAGCTAGTATATGAGTTTTAGTAAATAAACGATAAGAAAGTTTGATCAGCAAAAAAATATGAGGAAAAAAGAGCAATGTAAAATTAGGGCTTTTTATATTATATTTAGGTTGTTAAATAATTAACTGAAGTTGTAGGGATGAAGAATATTTATAAGATGGATAGAATTGTGTTACAATTTTGTATGAGATATAGTTTCTATATTGAGAGGAGGTGTGATGGTATTCTTGATGAAAGGTAGGTAGATATAAAAGATTTATTTTAGATGTTTAGATTTAAATAAGATAAATAAAAAGTGATCTATGATAAACTATTTTTAATATTTGAATAAAAATAAACATAGATGTTGATTAGGATGGATAGGGAGAGTTTAGGATAAAATTTAAATAGATGGTGGAAGATTTGCATAAATGATTAGTGTGATTGAAGATGAGATGCATGAAATAGATTTTGATTTATAGAAAGTTATAAATAGAAAATGAAATGAATATTTTAGAGTAATTTAATTAATTGTTGTATTTGTGAAAGGAAATACGAAAGAGATGAAAAAGATTGATAAAATGTATATATTTTTATAGTGGGTAATAGTATTATATATGAAAAAAAAATAATATATAATTTTAATGATAAAAAGTTGGCTCAAATAATTTGATGATTAATTGGAAAATTGGTAGGTGTGAAAAACATAATTAAATTTAATGAGTAATTAAAGTGAGGATGAGAATGAAGTATTACAAGTGGAATTGCATAGTGATGAAGAATAGAGAGGAGAAGAGGAAGATGAGAGAATAAAAAAGTTAGAGTAAGACAAGAAGAGTTTTATGAGTACAATAAAATAAAGTGGGAGAATGAATACAAATGTAAAGAGATTATATATAAAGATAGATAAAATTTGATAATATAGAATCAAAGATAAATACATTGTTAGAAAATGCAGAGAAATATGCAATGTTTTTATTACATAGACATAAGCGAACTCAGGAGAATAAGTAGAAGGTACAAAATTAGTAGAGAGGAAAACATAGATAGATAATAGAAGATGGAAGTGAGGAAGAGGAATTCGATGATACTCCAACAGTATTAGAGAAGCAACCAACAATTTTAAAGGGAGGATAATTAAAGTCATATTAAATGACTGGATTGAATTGGATGATATCTTTATTTGAGGAAGGAATCAATGGAATTTTAGCAGATGAAATGGGATTGGGCAAAACAATATAGACAATAGGATTTCTGTCTTTTTTAAAAGAATATAAAAAAATAAGTGGTCCATATTTAATAGTAGCACCAAAATCAACATTAGGAAATTGGATGAGAGAATTTAAGAAATGGTTACCATGTATGAGAGTAGTAAAATTGATAGCAATTAAAGAAGAAAGAGATGAAATATTAAATAGATATTTTTAACCAGGTAGATTTGATGTATGTTTAACAAGTTATGAAGGAGTAAATATATGTTTAAAACATATAAGAAGATTTTAATATAAATATATTATAATAGATGAGGCTCATAAGATAAAAAATGAAGATGCAATAATTAGTTAGAATTTACGTAAAATTAGAACTAATTATAAATTATTATTAACAGGTACACCATTATAGAATACTCCACATGAATTATGGAGTTTATTAAATTATTTATTACCTGATCTATTTGATTCATCTGAAGTATTTGATAAATGGTTTGAAGTAAATACAGAAGCTAAATTAAGAGAAGGCAATGAAACAATTCATTAAGATGAATTAGAATAAAGAAATTTAGAAATGGTTTAAAAATTTCAAAAGATATTAAGGCCATTTATGTTAAGAAGAACTAAAGCTGAAGTTGAAAGAATGCTTCCACCAAAATAAGAGATTCATTTATTTATAAAAATGTCTAATTTATAAAAATAAATGTATTAGAATATATTAATTCATAATAATCCACATGAAGGTGATGATAAAGGATTCTATATGAATAAACTTATGCAATTACGTAAAATTTGTTTGCATCCATATTTATTTCCTGAAGTGGAAGATAAATCATTACCAGCTTTAGGAGAACATTTAGTAGAAGTAGGTGGTAAAATGAGAGTTTTAGATAAGTTTTTATAAAAATTAAGTTAAGGATAACATTAAATTCTAATATTTTCATAATTTACAATGATGTTAAATATATTGGAAGATTATTGTAATTTTAGAGGATTTGAATATTGTAGAATAGATGGAGAAACAGAAATTCAATCTAGAGATGATCAAATAGCTGAATTTACATAACCAGATAGTAAAAAGTTTATATTTTTATTGTCAACAAGAGCTGGTGGTCTTGGTATTAATTTAGCTACTGCTGATACTGTCATTATTTATGATTCAGATTTTAATCCATAAATGGATATGTAAGCAATGGATAGAGCTCATAGAATTGGATAAAAAAATAGAGTTATGGTTTATAGAATGGTATGTGAACATACTGTAGAGGAAAAGATTATTGAAAGATAATAAATTAAATTACGCTGGGATTCTCTTATGGTATAATAAGGTAGACTCTAATAAAAATAGAGTGGTAAATTATTATCAAAAGAAGATTTAAAAGAATTAACTACTTATGGTGCTTCTTAAATATTTAAACTTGATGGAGATGATATTAAAGATGAAGATATTGATATCTTACTTAAAAGAGGTGAATAACTTACTAAAGAAATGAATGAAAGAATTGAAAAGAAATTTGAAAATTTTAAAGATAAAGTATAATCATTAGATTTAGGATTAGGATAAATTAATATATTTGATTATTTTGATGAAGCAAAAAGAAATAAAGAAGATGAAGAAGCATTAGAAGATGCTTTAGTTAATCATCTTATGTAAGATAATAAAACTAGAAATCGTGATAAAAGAGCTATGATGATTGCAAACAATTCTAAAAAAATTTAAGGTAAATAAATTAAATTATCTGAACATCATCTCTATGAAAATAAAGAAAGATTATAATTCTTATTATAAAAAGAAGAAGATTTTCTAGCATAATAAAAAAATTCTAAAAAAAATAATGAAAATGATGAAAATCTTGATTTTGGTGGTCTTACTTAAGAAGAAAGATAAGAATAAAAAAAATTACTTGAAACTGGATTCAAAAATTGGAATAAATAAGAATTTCAAGATTTTATTACTGCTAATGAAAAATATGGTAAAGATGCTTATGAAAAAATACAAGAAGTTATTAAAACTAAAACTGTTGATGAAATTAAAGCATATGCTTAAGCATTCTGGGAAAGAATTGATGGATTAAGTGAAAAAGATAAAATTGTTAAATAAATTGAAAGAGGATAAAAACTTATAGAACAAAAAACAAATGGATAAAAATTAATTGAAGAAAAATGTAAACATTTTCATCAACCAAAATATGAATTAGTTTTCACACCTCAACTATATAATAAATTCAAAAGCAAATATTTTAGTTTAGAAAATGATAAATATTTAATCTATATGACAAATGAAGTTGGTTATGGTAATTGGGCTTCACTCAAATTATCAATTAAAAAAGAACCTATGTTTAGATTTGATCATGCTTTCAAATGCAAAAGTGAAAATGAACTCAAAAATAGAGTGATTTCACTTGTCAAAGTACTTGATAAAGAAAAAGAAAATAATTCAATGGGCAGATCTCTTGTTAAAAATACCTATATAGAAAAACCAAAAGTTCTATAGGAATCTCAGAAAAAGAAAACTAAAAATGACGAAGAAGAACCCCAAGATGGATCTGAATCTGTCAAGAAAGTTAAAGTATGATATATATATATTTAATATATATATATATATGTTATTATTATATTAATTATTTATGAATCTCTTATTCTTAAGAACTAGTATAAAGATGCCAATTATTAAAATGTGATTTCTTATTATACGAAAATTGCACAAGAGAATGAGCTTTTTCTATAGATACTTCAAAAATATAGAACTAATTAACTTAATAAAATATTTTCTTTCAAAATTAAACAATTAAATAAGTAACTTACACAATTTAACCAATAACTTACTTCTTCCTAAACCTAAGCCTGTCTCAAATTTAATTGAGCCAAAATAAATAGAAGTTTTTATATGGATTTGATTCATTAATTAGAAGATAAAATATTAGAATAACGTTGCATCATTCATGATAAAGAATATACTATTTAACAGTAAAAAAAAAATACTATTTTAAATGACGGAGTAGTTATCATATGTAGGGACATCTTGCTATTGAATGAAATCTTTTTTTAAATTGCAAAATTAAATTAAACATTTATAAAATGAGCTTCTTAAAAATAATTATTATATCTAATACTCTTAAATTCAAATTAAATAATTAAATACTGAAAATTAAGCTTTATAAATTTTAAACTTATAAAATTTCGAAAAGCTTCAAGGAATTATGTTACTTTCAGAAAAGTTAAAGAAAGTTTGATGAATGAGTATGAAAAAGATTTTAGCGATACAAAAATATCTCATATTTCTAATAATGTATAACTACAACAGAAACAAGAAAGACTAATTAATACTAGTTTTTGGAATCAAAAATCAAATAATTTATAAAAATATAAAAAAACTTTTTGATTAAAATACCAACCAATCACATTCTTTAAAGAGAATATAATAAAATTTATAAGTAAATTTAATAACTCTTTGTAACAATTGAATTGACCAATTATGCTTTCATTCTTAGAGTTAAGACAAAAAAATATAAAAACTCAAGAAGGAATTAATTTATCTTGAATAATTTTGGTAATCCTCTTTAAATAATACAAATAATTATATCCTAAAATATTCAATTACCAATTCTGATAAATTAAGTTACTTCTTGAATAAAAAAGTAAAAGTTGCAAATAATTGGAATACTAAGGACCAAATGAAATGAAAGAATTTAAGAGCTATTTGTTTTAATTACATAAAGAATTACACTCTTAAGCAAAAACAAGTAAATATCTATAAGTTTGTCAGAACCACCAAGATGTAGGTAAACAAAATTGTAAAAAAGAAAGAAAGTTATAGTGAAAGATTAGAGTTCAGAATAACATGGTTTAGATTAGTCAATGATTCATAAAAAGGATCTTAGTTAACTAAGCAAAGTATTCTGATTAATTATTTACTTATTATAATTATTAATTTTATGCGTAATCGTATTTTAAGCAAGGATGATGATAATGTTAAGGAATATTTCTCCCCTTAGAAAAGAAAATAAGATAATAATGTCAATATTTGGCAAGGTTATATGTCTATAGCCTTGAATAGTACAGAAGCAGGAGTGAGACAGTTTTTATCATAAATGAGAAGAAATGGGAGCTTCTAATAAATAGAGAAAAAACAAAAACCTGTAATTACTGAATAGGAACAATTAATTGAGACTCCTAATCATAGTATTGTAAAATCTCTTGATCCTCAATTTCCACCCTTTATACGAAAAGGTAAGGATATTACAAGTTATGAATTTCTATCTTAAATTTATGAGTTGCATAACAGAAAAGCAAGAAATCAATCTTTAATTGAATAACTTATTGGAAAAACCAATAATGAAGTTATAGTCTTTCCTAAAACTATTCATCGTAAAAACATCTAAAAAAGATCATAACGCTGTCAATCAGTTGCATTAAAAGACATTGAATTAGACAGTTTAAAAGGCTAATTAATTCATGTAAAATAAGTTTAAGTTTAACCTTTACCTAAAGAGACAACCCCAAAACCGTTGAAGAGATTAATACCTATAATTAAATTAGAAAGGACTGCTTCACCTATTAAAAAAATTATAGCTCCATAATCTTAAACGAAAAAAAAGGTCTTTTATGATGATACTAGGTATTGGGATATAGGTTATGTAAAATTTATCTAATCTCCAAGTGTATTAGAAATTAATTAAATCATCAATTTTACAAATGCTCTTCAAGTTCTACCAGCTTAACATTAAAAATATTATAAACTTTATGTTGGTAGAGGTAATAATCATATGATGGTGAAAAGTATTTTTAGTATGAGAGCATAATGGACAGTTGGAGGAAATTTAGAAGAAGATGATTTTAATTTTATTTGGACTCAGAAATATATTGATTTTGCTTAATCAGAAATTCGACCTATTTAAAGATCAATTTCTAATGAAACAATTGAAGGATGGATTGATTCTAATGATTAAGTTTTAATTAAATAAGCTTGGGATCGTGTTGAAGGGAAATCAAAGAAGAAGATTTCAGATTATAATCTTGAAAGTTAACCAATTCTTAATAATGTAATAAAATATTTATATTTTTAGTTATGTAATGTAAAAGAACTTCTAACAATAAATCATTAAAATTAATCAATTAGAATACATAATCACTTAAAAGAAGGAAATTAATTAGGAGACAAGAAATATTTATTTTTAAATTTAAGCAAACATTGTAAAGAGAATTAAATAGATTTATGGACATTAATACCTTTGACATATCATATATAAGGTCCAAATGATGAATCATTTTTTGTTTTTAAGAAAAAGTTTGAAGAGGTTTAAATTGATTCATAATTTAAAAATATATGGATTATTAAACCTGGAGAGGATAGCAATAGAGGTTAAGGCATTAAAGGTAAATTTATTTATATTATAATAGTGTGTAATAATCTTAATGAAATCTATTTACACATTTCTTAGTAGAATCATACATTTATATTATAAAAATATATTGAAAATCCTTTTCTGTATTAAAAGAGGAAATTTGATATTAGAGGATACTGTCTTATAACAGTTATTAATGGTGCTAAGAAAGGTAGTGATTATATTAATAAGTAGACAGTATTTTGGTATAAAAAGGGATACCTCCGTACTTCAAGTAGTTTATTTAGTTTAGATTCACTTGATAATTAGAAAATACATCTTACTAATGATGCTATTTAAAATAAAATGAATGGTTATGGAAAATTTGAAAAAGGTATTTATATTTTTGCATTATGTTTACAGGAAATAAGGTTTCCTATGAACAATTTTAAAATTATCTACTCGAATAGAATAAATAATATAATACTAATTATAATTTCGAAGAACTTTATAAAAATATGAAAGTATTTTCTAATAAAATCGTATTTTTAGTAATTGACTAAAATAGCTTGTGCTTCTAGTATTAATTAAATAAATAATACTGATCAAGTTTTGGGATTTGAATTGTATGGTTTAGATTTCATGATTACTAATGAATTCAAACCAATCCTAATAGAGTTCAATACTAATCCTTGTATCGAAACTGGTTGTCCAGTGTTAGCTAAAATAATTTCAGGGTTATTAGATAATTTATTTAGGTAATTAAAAATAATAATTTTTTGAGGTTTATAATTGACCCACTCTTTCCTGCTAAAAAAATAAATCTTGATGATTTTAACAGTAAAAATGATTTTGAATTATTATTATAATCATAATTATGAAGAAACGTATCTAAAATTTATAAAAGGAAAAATCAATCAACTTATGTACACGATAAATTAATTTATATAAAATTACCTATAATGAAATCCTCTAATATGTAAAAGATGAGAAATTTAGGGAAAAAATTAGATTTTTTTTCTTCTCCGGTTGAATTGATGATTAATAAGAAGAGATCTCATTAATCCTTATTTGGAGCATTCATGACAATATTAATGTTTACTTGTGTTCTGACATACATCATCAACAAATTTGTGTAATTAGGATAGAGAAAAGAGTTTTAAACTCTATATTCTGAAGTATACTATGAGGAAATTCCGGTATTCTCTTTATAATCAAAGAATTTTACTCTATAATTTGCATTTTAAACTGAAAACTAAACAAACTATATTGATGAATCGGTTTATTAAGTCAATGCTGTTATGGTTAATAGAGCATAAGTTATGTAAGTTCTTTTATTTATAAAAGAGTTGATAACAAAACAAGTTTGTAGTTCGCTAGAAAAAATATTCCTCTATCAAAATGTGCTAAAATAGGAATACCTTTTGAAGAAATAGAAGAGCAACTTGGTAATGTTGATTCTACCAATACCTATTGCATAGATTGGAATAGTGTCTCAGAACTTAATTTAATTGGAACTCCAGAATAAGAGAACTATACCTACATATATATTAGCTTTTAATAATGTGTGAATGTCTCTGAAAATAGTAATTTTTTATAAATAAGTAGTTAACAGCCCAATTTGTAAGTCTAAAGAAGAAATTTAATAATAACTACATCGTAACTATATTTAATTCTAAATGTCTTCATATAATATTGATCTAAGAAATTACTTAAAACCGAATGTTCCAAAAGTCGAAGATATATAAACAACAATATCAAGTCAAGTTATGAAAGATATAACTTTATTTATGTAACCGATAACAACATTAACTGAAGAAGGATTATTGGATGAATTAGTGCGTAAAGATTCAACTATTAGATATCTAAAATCATAAGAAGTTATAGACTTTAATAGTGATGAAGCACTTGCATCAGTATTAATTAGATTGGCTAATACAGAAAATATAAGTTATAGAATATATCCTAAACTTTAAGATATTTTAGCTTAAGCAGGTGGTTTATGGGAAATTCTTATGTTAGTTTTTACTATAATGGCGAAACCCTTTTAATCTTTGTCTTATAAATTAAAAGTTATTAATAATTTATTTAATTTCGAAGGATAAAAATAATAAAATGCAACTGATACAGATGATGACGGAAAATAAATCTTAAAGAGATTGACTGTGGTTTAAGAAAGTGTTTAGACTCATGAAAATGATGCAGCTATAATGTTAAATTAATAAAAAGTAAAGACTTCTGTTCGATTTCCTAGAGGCAGACTCAAAAACAAATCATAAAAAACTGAAAATGGTAATTCTGCACAAACAGAAAAGTCTTCTCAATTGGTTACTAATTCACCTGAAAACGATAAATTAATTCATAAAGGTATAAGAATTGCTCTAAGGAAATTATTTAATATAGCGACTCTGAAATTAAGATTTAATCTTTTTGATTATTTAAAATATTTGAAGTGGGGGTAATTGTATATTTTAATTTAATAGAAGAAAGGAGGGAAAGTTTAAATAATTGTAATATTCAATAAATAAATTGGAGAAATGTTTAGATATACTGTTTATTATAGATAAATTGTAAGAAATAGATAAACTCAAAATGATATTATTAACCAAATAATAGATGCAACTTTTTGATTTTTTACCAAAGCCACTGATTTGTTTGGATCCTAATAATTTGTAATAGAATGAATCATCTATGTATTCTTCTTTATTGAAACCACATAAATCTTAGAAAGAAAAAGCGCATGAAGCATAATAAGTGTTAGATGAATTACTTGAAAATATGGACGATCCCATCACAACAAAGCTTATTTCTTTAATGGACCCTAATATTTTTAAACTTCTATAAATTTAATTAGACCTGAAGAAGAGATAGCTCTCTAAAGTAATAACTCCTGATTTTATTGAATCATGAATAAAATATATATATTATTAATGATGATTAAATTTATTTGTTAGATTTTCAACTATAATCTTTATGAGATTTATATTATATTGACTCTTAAGATCCTTCCTTATTATCTGATTTTTCTCTTATAACACTATTCTATACAGTTCCATCAAATAATTTCTTCTATTCAGCATGCTTTGTGATTTGATCATGCTAAAGCTATTTTTATTATTAATCTTATTTAATTTTATTGATAACTGCATAACTGATAGAGGCAAAGTTTTCTTTAACTCTACTAGTTCTATTTCTTTCTTCATATTCAGAGATTAGTACATTAACAACTTCTTTATCTAAACAAGTTATTAATTTTTATGTTACAGGATTACTGTCAAAGTCTACAAGAAGTTCTTCAAAAGCAATCGATGCTTATTTAGCTTTCTCTTCAAAGGATTTTTGAGGAGTAAGAATTGATGAATGAAATTATAATTCTTCCTATTCTGGACTAAATGGTTCTAAATATATTGTTGGCTTTGGTAAATATTCAAATAAATTCATTTAAGCTTTGTTAAACAAAATTAATTTAAGTTTATCAATTTCTTATAGTTTGTCTATTATAAAAAGTATATCTAAAAATGATTCATATTTCTTAATAGAATAATCTAATTAATCCATCTTCTTTCTTTTAGGTCTATATGTAAGATATTGTACATATTCCTTAAATTTCATTTTTATATTAGATGAAACTAAAGTGAAAAGAGATCGAGCTTCATTAATTCTCTCATTTTAAGTTAGTCTTTCTATAAATCCATTAGATTTTGAACTAATAACTGACTGTTATCTTCCTTAAGGAAATCTTTTAGAAACAACTTATTTGATTTAGGTTTTATTTTTTACATCAGGTTAAGTCTATAGAGAAGTTTTAATATCATTTTGAGTAGGCAATAATATTTTAGAAGGTTTAGTTTCATTTAAATTTTCATTAGATTTAGGTTTATTTCTATCTTTATTAGTTGTTTCTTATTCAAAATTAAATAGTTTATTAATAATTTCAATGCTATAAGCTAGTTCACTAAAAGGTTTTTAGAGAAATAAAGCAACAGCAATAATGATTTACCATAATCCTCCAGCTGATGCTAAAACATCTTACACTTTTGGATAGATTCTATAACTTACTTATTCAGTATCAGATAGACGAATTACAACATTAGCCAAAGATGTATCAGTATTAAAATCAATAATTTCTTTATCAGAAAAATACCTGATAGTAGTGTCCTTTCTAATTTCTTTTTAAAAATAACCAAAATCAGTTATTGTAGTTATAGGTTACATAAATATCTCAACATCTTTTGTAACTCTGGCTGATATCGTTGTGTATATGTCTTCCACTTTTGGGATAAGTGGTGTAGTGAAATCTCTCAAATTAATTATGTATGATGTCAATTAAAAATGAATATAATTTCTATTCAAAACATTTTAGATTGTATTATTATCAGCACATACTACACCAGGTTCTTTTCTAATAAAAATTTATAAATACTTGATCCATTTTAACATACACTAAAACTCACATTAATATACTAATATTCTGGAGCATCATCAGTACCAAATAATGAAAGACTATCAATCCTACTCCAATCCAAACAATATGTATTTGAAGGATCTTAGTCATCAAATTACTCTGCCAACTCATCTTAGATTATACCATTTTTTGAACATTTTGAGATTGGTATTACTGTTTTATTATTATATTCTTTCTTTTTACCATTAACCCTTGTAATTATATTATATTGAATACTCAGTTATTTATTTATATACAAGATAAGCTTCTGGGATGTATATACTTTCGTTGATGTAATTTGTTCTATTTTAATATTGAAAAGCAAACTATAATGTGAAATTGTCTTCAGTTAGCTTATAAAAAGGAGGCTCTAGATGAAAAATATCAGAATAGAGAGTTTAAAATTCAGTTCTATCATCTATTTAACTGAGTTTGTTGGTTAAATAGAGAAGAATAGTTACTATGCATCCAAGTGTTGTAAATGCACCCAAATATGTTTGATACCCTCTTTTTTTCTAAATAAATAGTTGTACCGGGCATGCAAACTTATCAAGGTAGAGAAAATATGTTTTTATTAATTCAAAATTCATAAATATTAATTTTGGATAAGCATCTTTCTAAATTTCATATCATAATGTTTTGATAAAAATAACAATAAAAATTCATTCAAGTTCATGTATTTTATATTAAAACATGACATAAATATTCATATTTTAATTATTTTCATTTTTTAAAGCAATATCTAATAGCATCAACAATATTTTGATAGGAACGTTATCATTATTTTAAGAAATCATGTCTATCTATGCTTATTCTTTTTCATTTAATTGCGAAATATGTTAAAGGATTCTATTTACTTTATTTAAGACATTCATGTAATTTGGAATAAAGTTTTTATTTCTTCACCCTTTCTAAGATTTATTATTTTAAAACTCAAAATTGAAACAAGAAGGAATAGTTAATAGCTTCTAAAAATTTAATAAATTTAAGTTTATTTTAACTCTATATAAAAGCTATATCCATATTTTTTCTCGCAATCTTTTAATGAATATTAAAAGAGCTTAAAAATAAAATAAAGCCTAGCATTCGAGATTCTAATACAAATATCAATTTATTCAATTAATCTCATAATGTACTTTATCGAATTAAAATTAAGATAAATTTAAGGATTCTAATAAATAATTTTAATCTATAATTCTTCTGTTAATTTAGAACATCTTTGAAAAGTTATTAAATTATCTTATTTTTTTAATAAAAATATGACTTCAATTTATACTTCTATGTAATTACTTATAAAATTTATCTACTCTTCACTATTTACATTATTAAAAAGGCTTCATTCATTCAAAAATTTACAGAATATATATTTAGTATTTAAAGTCTACCAGTTTCATTTAATAATCTAACTACACCACTTTATTCAAATATTCCAAATTTTAAATAAGTTTCATGGATCAAATGTTTATTATAAATAATTCAGTTCAAAAGGATATTATTTAATGAATGAATCCATTAATCATTAAAAATATAATATTAATTAAAACATTATAATATACATTTACTCTTATATATGTAGATTAACATACTTTCATTTCACAAATTGAACTCATTTTATCTATTATTTGAAGATTATTTTTTAATCTTTTATAGCATTTTCAAAAACTTTATTATTTGCTTCTCCTACAAATTTACTAAATATTTTAAGTCTACAAAACAATATTTAAAGTTTTCACTCTTAAAACCTCTTTTAATTCTCTTGTTGTTAAATTCTTTCTCTATATGGACAACAATCCAATAAGCAATCTTTTTATATTTTTTGATACCATATTTCTATGAAAATTATAATGGAAATTTTCTTCTAAAAATATTTTATGAATCTTAGTGAAGTTCACCTGCTTCTAATTTATCAAAATTCTAATCTTCTCTAAATAAATTTATTGATTTCGTATGATTATATTTTGCCTTTAATTATAAAATAGCACATCTAACAATAAATTCTTCAACTAACATATCTAAATATTTTAAACATCAATAAATTTGATTGCACTCCTACAAACAATGCTTTAGATCTTGTTATGGTAAAATAAATAATCCTATTTAACTTAATCTCATTTTAAAATTTCAATCACAATATCTATAATTTATCTTTTTATATTTTAGAGTATTATTATTATTTTAGAGTATTATAATTATATTTTTCAAATCTTCAAAAATTATCCATAAAAGTGAATTAATATATATTCCTATCTATGTCAATTTAATTCTCTAAATTATATAAAAATTAAATATCACTCAATAACTTCTAACCTTTCTATTTTGGTAATTTAAATATTTATCATTTAAAATCTTGTGTGTGTTGTTCATTTTCATCATCTTTCTTTTATACTTATTTACTTCTTCTTCTTTTATTTCATAATCATCATTATAAAATTAAATAAATAATTGATGCTAATTATTCCTTATTTTATTCTCTATTTTATTTTTTACTTATTAATAAGCCGACAAAAGCTACTTTTAATTTTTTCATTTGAATTATTAAAAAGATATTGATATTTTAAACTATTCAATTTTCATTTTATTTGATAATTTATTTAGAATGAAAATTAAAGATTCAATCATTAAATTTTTTACAAATTATTCTATTTCATTATTAATTCTAAAAATATTTTAATTAGAATTAATTCTAATTTTTTCTATATTTAAGTCTTATAAATAAAAATTTCGATAAATGAATTAAAGTGAAAAAGAGATTGAAGAGGAACAATTTAAAAAAGAATTTGAAGAAAGAGTAGAGAAGAGAAAAGCATGGTTGATGGAATAATTAAAAAGTTGTGGTAAATTTTTAGACGTAAGTGCAAATAAATTAGATGATCTAGATGCTTTGACTGTATGATCTTTATTTAAATTAGATTGCTCTCTATCTCCATGAATGCCAAATAGAATTAACCTTATTTCATATAGCAACAAATTCCATTACAGATCGTGGATTTATTGATATGTTAACAGGATTATAATGGCATGATAAATTAAAAGAAATTTATATTGGTAATAATTAAATTAGTGAAGTAAGTCATATTATTGATAAAAGATTGGTGTTCAAGGATTTATTGAAATATCTAGTAGTTTCAAATAATTAAAAATACTTAGCATGAGTAGTTGTTCAATAGATGATAATACATTTATATAACTTTGTTATGCACTTCCTGAATTAAAGAATTTACAATAATTATAAGTACCTGCAAACAACATTTCTGATTTTGGTATTTATATTTGATTGAAAAATAGGATTGATATGTTTCTCAACTTTATTAGCTACTAATTGCCTTCCAAATTTAACTGTTCTTCATTTTGGAAATAATCCTTTGACTTCTAAATCGTTAGTACCATTATTTTAGGCTTTAAAAAAAAATAAAACAATAAAAATCTTATATCTTAATGATATTGGAATGGATTTGTAAACTATAAAATAAATGGCAATATGTTTGAAAAAGAACAAATATTTAGAAGAATTAAATTTAGGGAATACAGGATTTTCTAATGCAGCAGCTTAGATTTTATGGCCAAACCTAAAGTATTTAAAAACATTGCGTTTATGGAATAATCATCTCACAGATAAAGCAATATTTGAATTTATAAATGTATTGGAGAAAGAAGAATTACGTTTAAGTTATTTGGGATTATAGGATAATGAAATAGAAGAAGTAGATCTTATTGAAGATTTGAATGGTTTATTAAAGTAGAATGAATTGATTGATTAATTAACTGAATAGATAGAAAATGATGTTGAGGAAGAAAATGAGAAGAAATAAATATCAAAAATGATAGAGTTGAATAAATTTGAGGAGATAGAGGAAAAATTAGAAGAACTTGATAAATTGAGTACATAATAGGTTTAAGATGAAGAAGAGATTAATGAATTGTAAGGGATTTTGAAAACAAAAAAAGATGCATAAGAGTAGTGTTGAATATCTGTAATGGAATGAAAATAAAGATTTAAATATTTTTTAAATAATGGTTATCAAGACAGATTTGTGCTCCTTTAGTGAATGGAGAATCTATCCTGGACATGGAAGAAGATTCGTTGCCAAGGATGGCAGACTCTTCTATTACTTGAATTAAAAGAGCAGAGCTTTTAGTGCAAGAAAAGTATTCAATATATATTAAAATATAGATTAAATCTCAAGAAATTCAATGGACTGTTGCTTGGAGAAGATTAAATAAAAAGATTAAGACAGATGAAGGAGCTAAAAAAAGAAGAATTAGAAATCTAAAAGTCTAAAGAGCCATTGTTGGTATTTCATTAGAAGAAATCAGAAGAAGAAGAAAAGAAGATGATAGTAATACATTTTTTTATAATAAATAGAAACTAGAAAGGCATAAGCTGAATAAGCTGCAAGAGAAATTAAAGAAAGAAAATAAAAGTAAATTGAAACTCAAAAGAAGAAACCAGCTGCAGCATAAAAAGTAGCTTAAAAAGCTGAAGTCAAAGCACAATAAAAAGCATAAAAAGGTGCTGCTAAAGCCAACAAAGGTAAAAAATGATTCTTACAAATATAACATCAAATACATATAAATATGTTTTAAACATTATAATTAATTTTATTATTAAATAAATGGAAGAATTATGCTACACCGTCCTTGGAATTGGCTTAGGAATTTTTGTATAATAAATACATCAAAAGTTATCCAATAAAAAAAAGTAGAATAAGACACAATAATAGTATAAGGGAAAAAAGTATAATTTACTATCTACCCCAGATATGAAAAAAGCATATCAAGAATAAAAATAGAGTTTTCTCATTAAATAAGCATCCTAATAAGAAATTGGTGATACTATTAGAAAGATTGTCAAAATTTAAAATAAAATATCCAGTTTTGATAAAGATGATGAATTAAACTTAATATAAAATTCTTAGGTAGATAATTCAAATGATGATTAATCATTACAAAATTCAAATGAGAACCAATTTTAACCAAAAACACCCAATTTTAATAATAAATCATCATCCTCTTAATATATTACATTGACCACATCTAATACAATAGGATTTTTATAATCCAATTAGTTTAGCGATAGTAGTAAATTTTTATCAAAAATTAGAAACAAACATATCTCCTCCTTGTGAAAATACAGAAGAAATCAAAAATAATAATGATCCAGAATGATAATTATGTTATAATTAAAATAACTATTATTTCAAAAAAAAAATATATTGAATTTCAAATGATTAAAGAGTAAAGATTGTTTAAATTAGTTATTTTATTAGTTGTTAAGATCTACAAAAGATAAAATATAAAATAAAAATTTCCATATCAATATCAATAGATTTTTGTACAAATCTCTGAAACATTAACTTATATTATAATTTATTACGTTTTTTATTAATTAAGATAATGAAATATCAAGAATTAGAATAACATTAAAGTAGAAAACAAATCACATTAAATGATGCAATGTTTACAATATTTAAAAGAGGAATGATAAAGAGTCCTTGCTTTATTCCATTTTTGATTATATTGACTCTATTATTTGCTATTGGAATTTTGCATGAGTCTGGTATCAAACCAATTCATGAATTGTTTCCTCTTGGAGGTACAACAGGAGAATTCTTGAAATCTGAATAGATGTGAAATAATTTATCAACAGTTTATATTTTTATCTAAAAAATTTAATATGTTTTTTATAAATTTTCAAAAAGCATTCGTTATTTTACTTAATATTTCTTCAAATTTTCAAAATTTAGCATAATTTTAAGAAATAAAAGTAAAATTATATTTAAGAATTACTTTTTAAATAAAGGGAAAAATTGATGAAATAGATTAGAAACTTTAAAAATATTCTTATGATTTTTAATAAATGAAAATTATTATTAAATCTAATGGTTGTTATGTTATAAAATGACATAATAGGAAGAGAGTATAGATTTATAAATTTATATAAAATATATATCAATACAATATTAACCTTTTGATTTTAAACATATAATTAAATTTTATGTCTTTAGAAGAAAAAGTTATGAAGATAAATTAATTTTTCATTTGGGGTTGATTAGAAGTAAGACATTTCTAAAATAAAAATTACATAGTTATTTCTCATACTAATGATTATAGATTTGATAATTTGATTGATTCAATACTAATATTATTAAAAATGCGTGCCATAAATATAGTTCTTTTTGGGATACTTGGAGCTACTCTTTTATATTATGTTTATGAATAATCATAAATTGATTCGACTCCTTTTGATTTATAAACAATTCAGGAAAAGGAATTGGAAGCAAGATAGAAAATGAGTGGAAATAAAAACTATTAAATTCCTAATTTCTTTTTTGTTACCCCATGGTATATTTGAAAATAAGAATAGGAATAAGGATGGATATCAACTTACAATAAAATATGCATAAAAAATAGATATGGTAAGCCCAGCATGGTTTAGTATTAAACAGAATAATGTTGTTGATGGAAAATAAATTGTTAACGAATAATGGATTTAAGAAATAGTCTTAGCTAATCCTTAAATTGCTATAATTCCTAGAGTTTAAATTGAATTATAGGAAAAATCATTTATATAACAAATTAATAATCCAAAATTATTGGAAACAATAATCAATTTAGTAGAACAATATTCTAATAAATTTCATGGAATAATGATTGATACACCCTATATATCATACATTGATGCTTTTGATGCTTAAGATATAGTTAAATTTCTTTAAAAATTAAAAGCAAAACTNTGAAATATCAAGAATTAGAATAACATTAAAGTAGAAAACAAATCACATTAAATGATGCAATGTTTACAATATTTAAAAGAGGAATGATAAAGAGTCCTTGCTTTATTCCATTTTTGATTATATTGACTCTATTATTTGCTATTGGAATTTTGCATGAGTCTGGTATCAAACCAATTCATGAATTGTTTCCTCTTGGAGGTACAACAGGAGAATTCTTGAAATCTGAATAGATGTGAAATAATTTATCAACAGTTTATATTTTTATCTAAAAAATTTAATATGTTTTTTATAAATTTTCAAAAAGCATTCGTTATTTTACTTAATATTTCTTCAAATTTTCAAAATTTAGCATAATTTTAAGAAATAAAAGTAAAATTATATTTAAGAATTACTTTTTAAATAAAGGGAAAAATTGATGAAATAGATTAGAAACTTTAAAAATATTCTTATGATTTTTAATAAATGAAAATTATTATTAAATCTAATGGTTGTTATGTTATAAAATGACATAATAGGAAGAGAGTATAGATTTATAAATTTATATAAAATATATATCAATACAATATTAACCTTTTGATTTTAAACATATAATTAAATTTTATGTCTTTAGAAGAAAAAGTTATGAAGATAAATTAATTTTTCATTTGGGGTTGATTAGAAGTAAGACATTTCTAAAATAAAAATTACATAGTTATTTCTCATACTAATGATTATAGATTTGATAATTTGATTGATTCAATACTAATATTATTAAAAATGCGTGCCATAAATATAGTTCTTTTTGGGATACTTGGAGCTACTCTTTTATATTATGTTTATGAATAATCATAAATTGATTCGACTCCTTTTGATTTATAAACAATTCAGGAAAAGGAATTGGAAGCAAGATAGAAAATGAGTGGAAATAAAAACTATTAAATTCCTAATTTCTTTTTTGTTACCCCATGGTATATTTGAAAATAAGAATAGGAATAAGGATGGATATCAACTTACAATAAAATATGCATAAAAAATAGATATGGTAAGCCCAGCATGGTTTAGTATTAAACAGAATAATGTTGTTGATGGAAAATAAATTGTTAACGAATAATGGATTTAAGAAATAGTCTTAGCTAATCCTTAAATTGCTATAATTCCTAGAGTTTAAATTGAATTATAGGAAAAATCATTTATATAACAAATTAATAATCCAAAATTATTGGAAACAATAATCAATTTAGTAGAACAATATTCTAATAAATTTCATGGAATAATGATTGATACACCCTATATATCATACATTGATGCTTTTGATGCTTAAGATATAGTTAAATTTCTTTAAAAATTAAAAGCAAAACTTGGTAACAAAATGTTAGTATTAACATTATACGGTATCTACAATCCATAATAATACAAGCATTCAACTTTAAGGAAATTATTCAAAGTAGCAGATTACACTTTAATATAAACATATGATTATTAGATTTAAGAAGAAGATGATCATTTATTATCACCTTATTTTTGGGTTCAAGAGAATTTAGAACATTTTTTGATATACAATGAAAAGTTGCTATTTGTAATTATTGAGTAATAATATTTAGGGAATTCCTTTTTATGGATTTAAAAAAACTTAGTATGAAAAAACTCATTTTATAGGTAAAGAACTATTGAAATTAAATGCATCTAATTTTAAAACAGAATGGGATAGATCTTCTTATGAGTGTAGATACAAAAATGATATTATTTCTATTTCTTATCCATGCCCTGATTTTGTTATTTAAAGACTTAATTTAATCAAAGAGTTTGGTAGAGGTTATTTTGTTTGGGAAGGTGGATAAGGTATTGAACTGTTTTATCAACTTTTATGAAATATAAATTAATAATAAATGTAAAGAAAAATGTTTATTTATAATAATAACAATTTCAAATTTAAATGGAACGCAATTTATAATCCTGTTTCTAACAATTTTAAGTTAAGAGAAATTAAAATTTTTTTTATAAAAAATATTTCAATAAGATAATATTAATGAAAAAAAATAGACTAATAAAGAGAGATTGGATGATGATAAATAAAGATAGAAATTTATAACTTAAGCATATAAATATAAATATGTTGGAGTTCCATATCATAATAGATATCATGATGAAACATCTCCTTATTTCAATGCCCTTTTGTATTTAGATTGTTCTGGGTTGATAAGGTAGGTATTTTATGATCTAAGAGAATATTTTGGATTTACTTTAGGAAAATGGATTTAAGCTAAAAGCTTATCAATATTATTTACTTGATAAAGAGATTGAATTTAAGATTTAAAACCAGAAGATTTAATCTTTCTATCTAGAGTTTATTATGATAAATCTTGTAGAGCTTTTTTAGCATAATATAGATCATGTTGAAATTTATCTTGGACAAGAAAGAACTATTGCTGCAATATGGTAATAAGGTACAATTCAAGAATTTAAAACTTACTTGAATCATAAAATTATTATGATGTTAAATATGATTTTAAATCGTTACAACCATGGTTAGAAGGAAACTGTGAAAGCTTTTGTATTGAATATTCATGGAGAGATGATAGAAATAAATGGGTTAGTAATAAAAATTCTGTTTTTGCTAAAAATTTACAATAAGTACCTACTGATTTTATACAAAAACAAAGAGTTTATAAGAATTAATTAAATCATATCTCAGAAATAAGAATTATGAATTAATTGATACTGTTTAAGATGCTTTTTGAATAATTATTTTTTAATTGATTTAATGTCCATAAAGTAGTAATTATTATGAATTTAAACCAGACTTATAAATTGTATATTCCTTTAATTATTATAGATCAATCATATTCCAAAAACCTACCATAATTAGGTCTAAAAGTATCAATGTTAGAATTATTGAGAGAAAATTAACGTGAAGAGGTTTCACCTAAAACTTATAGATTAAACTAAATTACAGAAGTTATTGAATTCTTAAAAGATTATGAAAATGGCATTTAGATATTAAAACCCTATAATTTAAATTGTGGTAGAAGCATTAAATTTATTAGCAATATAGCCAGATTTAAATTAGATCTTCACTAAAAAAGCTAATATTAAATTGTTGACTATTATAAAGTTTATGTAGAAAATGAAATCAAGATCATTTGAGAATCTAAGAAAATCTCGATACTTAAATATAATTAAAATATGATGATATCAATTCTATGTCCATTATAAAAAAAATATATTGAAAAACCCCTTTTACTCGATTCTAGAAAATTTAATATAAGATGCTATGCTTTAAATGCTAAAGTAAACCCTTACACTGTACTCTTTCATCATGGTTATGCTAGATTAAGTATTTTTGA